GTTTGGACAATTGTTGAGGGTTGCATCTTAGAGAAGGTCAATAATTGACCTATGGGAACTTTAATAAGCCTATATATGTAGGCTCTCTGTTCCCAATAAAGGGAACTGCAAAGTTTGAGTACTAGCAGTAATCTCAAAAGCTATCTGGAGTTGTTCTTTTTTATCCAGAAATATTCTGAATGACATAGACTATGTACAACCATTGATGAATCTAACACCAATTGCTATATACTGTATACATATTCATTTGTCTTTGTCCAGTGTTAGTCTAGGTTCAGAGTGGGTATGTTTTATAAGGAGGTAAGATTATTTAGGCTAGGGTACTTATATCAAGAAGTGGTTGTTTCAGTAGCATGCAGGACCTGGCAGGTACCAGAAATGTACATATCCCTCAAATCATATATGGCAATGTATTTCTGTTGTTCTGGAGCCGAATGCTCAGCATGTCACCGTAGTGTGTACCCAACTGTGCAGTACTTAGTGGGGCCTTCGTTTAAAACAGCACTGATGGCCTAGCAATAGGCGCTATGATAACCGATTTGTGAATCTATCAACAAACTCAACATCTAGCTGCAACTACAGAATAAATATGAAGAATTAGGTACACTTTCGCTATGATATGTTGGTATTCAACATTACATCATATTCCAGTGTGAAATATTAGCTTTAATCTTAATAATAAAGCGGCACCCTAAGGCCTTTAAATTGCATTCGCAATGTTTTGATGGCAGGTGTCAATTCATATAATAACAATTCAACGCTTTGCGTTGCAAATATTAGTCCATAATACTCACCAATGGAGGATCTCGACCGTCTTGTGTGTTTTCAGCTAATGAGCCAGGGACAAGGGTGAGGGTTACATAGAAAAAAACACGAGCGGGTTGAGGAGGTTGGCGACACACCCAGCTGGTAGCCTCGGGTCGATGGTTCAGCTGGCCACTGTCACCCCCGCACGCCGCCACCATCGCCACAACACCGCAATACCGTACAATATATTTACCTGATTTTACCTGAGGGAATACCATATCTAGTGGCCTCTATGGGGAAGACAAAGCTTGTGAAAGATCCCAATTATTCTTGACTTTTATTTCCCAGGTCAATTTTGAATCTATCATCAGGCTGTGAGATGAGTGTATAGCGAATATCAATTACCTCTATACTTAACAGTGAAGACTTTGATATTTTACCTGCAGTTGAACAAATCTATGTAGGTAAGGAAGAGGACAAGATCAAAGCCCACCCCCCATTTTTCCTGGTGATTTTATCCAGCTGGATTTTGAACTGCAGCAATGTTCTTGGCGTGTAAGCGGTTCCATGGGTTTATAACGCTATGGATGAAGAGGCATCTCTTGTTTTTCTGTCCTATATTAATTCTGTTTTTTTTTTTCATTGAGCTTGAAGCTGTTTCCCCTTGTATGTGTTACATTTGACCTTTTAAAGTAGTGAAATTCAAATTATTCAATATTTTAAGTTTTGATGAGATCAGCCCTGTTATTTCTGGTTTGCAGTGTTGTTAGTCCTATATGGTCCATAACTGTTAATTCCTGGTGAGAGTCGACTTAGTTCTGGGATGATTTTTGTCGTCCGGTGTTGAACTTTGTCCAAAGCATATGTATGTGGCCTCCATCTTGAGGTTATCTTGAGAAGATTTCGGGGGCTTAGCGTCCCCGCGGACCGGTCCTTCAGGCCTCCTTTTTGTTACACACACACCCCAGGAAGCAGCCCGTAGCAGCTGTCTAACTCCCAGGTACCTATTTATTGCTAGGTAACAGGGGCATCAGGGTGAAAGAAACATTTTTGCCCATTTGTCTCCGCCTCCACCGGGGATCGAACCCATGCTTGGATACAGTAATCTACAGGGGGCGTACCAGATTCGTACAGTTGAGCAACTACCTTATTTTCTTTGAAGTCGAAAGTTCGTTTGGCTATTTAGATTTTATTTTAAGTGCAGCTCCCACTTGTTTTGCAACGTTCAGTGACTGGTGGATTCCGGTTAGGTCCTTTTCTTCTTTAATCTGATGTACGGCGATGTTGTTGTTTGGTGGTTGTGATGTGCATTGGTATACCCCACATGACAATAATTATCAAAAGAAGGCACCAAGCAGAAAAGTGGTACAAGTTCAAATATGCGGGATATGAAAAAAAAACGCTAAATGTCACGAAAGATTCCAATACGAGAACAAAAGCGCATAAGGCGAACGATATCAAAGCTATCTGATTACCAGCACATGAAAGCTCCCGCAATTTTCAATATTAAAATGCATTTGCAAGTCTTCTGTATTTGCGAAGTTCATAACGATCTCTTTGTAAGGCCTCAAATATCATTTTCCCTTCCTTCTTTTCTTTACCATGAATCTTTGTGTTATCTGCAAATTTGATGATATGGTTTGTAATATTCTCATGTCATTGAAGTATGCCAAAAAGTGCTGGCCCCAAGATGGAACTTTGCGGTACCCGACTCATCACAGATCTCCATTTAGGGAGACACTTTGCTCTTTTTGTCTTATCCATTCTAGTTTTCTACGATTTATTTCATGTGTTTATAATTTCCTTGCTATCATTCATATGGTATCTTATCAAAAGCATTATAGAAGTCCATGCATACTACGTCAGCTGGAAGTCCTTTGTCTCAATAGTTGGTTACAGTTTTCAGAATATGAGCATGTTTACCTGAACTTACCTCATGGCCACCATCTCTCAGGTGGCCTCGACGAGGACAGGAAGCCGGCGGCTTGTCGAAGGTCCTCTCATTTGTCCTGATTTTATCGAACTGGATTTTGAAATTCAGCAGCGCTTTGGCATTTACAGTTTAGACAGGTAGACGGTTACCACTTGGACTGGACAGTAGAGTGACGGTCTCGCTTCACGCAGGTCGACAGGACTGTCCCAGTGGTTGGGCACCATTCCTCCTCCCCGTCCCATCTCAAATCTTTATCCCAATCTCTTCCAAGGGCTATATAATCGTAATAGCTTGGAGCTTTCTCCTGATAGTTCCCCTTCCATGGGTTTATAACCCCATGGATGAAACATCATCTCTCTTGTTATTCGTTCTACATTGTGGCTTGTTACGCTTGAAGTGTTATAAATAAATAATAAATGTTTATTCAGGTAAGGTACATACATACAAGAGATTTTACAACAATTGATGGATTTATAGATAGAGCTGGTACATACAATGCCTAAAGCCACTATTACGCAAAGCGTTTCAGGCAGTTGTTCCTTGTTCGTGTTACATCTGACCTTTTGAAGAAGTGCTTTGGAGCGAGTAAACAATATACTCGCTCCTGTTTCTCATTAGCTTAATGGCAAAACTTATTAGCACTAATTACGAAGCTATAATATTGTCCCTAATTACAGGTAACATTCCTTCCGACCAATTGGAGGACGGTGAGGTGTAGTCCAATAACATAAGCAATCGAGAAGCAATTAATAATTCAGGGGACACGTACCGCTCCTGTGCCAGGTAAGTCCACTACGGGCTCACCATAGCCCGTGCTACTAGGAAGTTGTTCCGAGTAGCTGAATCTATAACAACAACAGATTAATAATTTTACAAGCCATTCATGCCCGTGCCACCTTTTGGGTGGCTTAATCTTTATCAATCAGATTAATAATAAAAAATTCCACAGTGAAATCACTGATTTCAGTGATAATCAGTGAAAATTTCACGATATGGTGGTTAGCAGTTAACTTCAGTACAGACGCTTGGGAGTTACCTCACCTCTTCAATCTCAAGACTCAAGAAATCAAATTTGATTTGATTTGACTGTAGCACCCGGCGTGTACATTTCCAACCGACCCCAAGACGCTACAGCTTCGACACAGAGCAGACTACGACCGCAACGAGCTACCACGCTCACGATCTCATCGAGTTCAGACACTCACCATTCCCCATCGAGCCGCTACGCTCTCCCGCATAGAGCTCTGGGACTCCGGCCTCACTCAGCTCTCTACTCCAAGCTCCGTCTCAACGTCAACAACACTGCCAACAACTGACTGCTGTAACCGAGACTACTAAATAAATATGAAAACCCACTAAACACTGTGCATCTAATCTACCCAACAACGTAACACAATCGTCTCCAAATTATTAAATATTTACCTGATGCTCACTAACCCTAGTGGCCTCGACGAGGACAGGAAGGTGGCGGCTTGTCGGTCCTCGTCGATTTGTCTTGATATTTTCTAGGTATATTTGAAAACAACACAGTTTTGGCAGTTACGGCTTCGACGGGTAGGCAGTTCAATGAGTTAATAACCCTGTGGGTGAAAAAGCATCTCCTATTCTCAGCTCTACATTGTGGCTTATTGATCTTGAAGCCGCTGCTCCTTGTTTGTGTTAAATATATTAAAAGTTTCGATGAGATCAGTCCTGTCATGGTTGGTTTGCAGTGTTGTTACCCATGTGGCCCTCAACCGTTCCTGGTATGAAAGTCGACTTAATTCAGGAAGGATTTTTTATCGCCAGGCTATGTCCCACATGCAAGGTCTTGTATTTCTCGGTATTAAAAAGCATTTGCCAGTCTTCCGACTACAAGTGGAGTTCATGTAGATCTCTTTTTAAGGTGTCAATATCACAGTTGCTAAGGGGTGCCGGTGGCTCGGTAAATAGAGCTGTGAGCTGCTGTTTAGGTTCCAATGGTCCAAAGTTAATGAAATGTTTATATTCACGATATGGTGGTTAGCAGTTTATATGACTGGGACGTGGATTACCTAGCTGACACCTTCATGTCAAAGTGGCACCACAGGGAAGACCTAGTTCCAGTTTGACAGCTGATAGGTGTCTCTGGAATCCTTATTGAATGCTGGTAGCTCAGTATGTATAGCAGCGGGCTGCTGTTTATGTGGTCTGCGGTTCGAGTCTCCGATGGTTTAAGTGAATGACATATACATATACATATATTACATATGTATATATATATATACTTGTAAAACCAAATAGCTTCCATTTTACAATTATCATCAACTTCAGATAATGATAGGTAAAAAGGAAAGGGAACTATAATTGTATTTTTTAATTCCAGTGTTGCAGTTGATGTTCAATCAGTGTGTAGAAGATTGTACACGAGACAAATCAGGCTCCACAAAGCACCTGACTCACATGATGCCAACAAAGAGACATTTTGTCTCTTCATAACCTCATACCACCATCTTTTCATAAAGAACTACTATTATAACTTATCTCTGTGTATCATAGACTCAGTTCCAAGGCTAAGGAATCAATGTTTACACTGCTTTAGCTCAAGACCTTGTCATCCCCATCATGAGCTATGTCACTCATGAGGTAGAGCTATGTCACTCATGAGGTAGAGCTACGTCACTCATGAGGTACGTCACCCTCATCATGAGGTACGTCATCCTCATCATGAGGAATGTCACCGGGAGACAGGGAAGGAAACAATGTAGCAATAGTTGTACCCTCCAGAGTTCTCGCATTTGCCAGTGTGTCTGCGAAAATGGATAAGGGTTCTGGCGTTAGGTTGTCCCATGACAGCGAGGGTGTTGGGTCGTGAATCAGCTCCTCAATGTCGTTAACTGAAGAGTTATGGCCATCCTTCTGACTCTGTGTAGACCGGTTACTCTGCCGAGGACGATGAACATCAGCGGGCCCACCCAAACACTACCGGGAGAACCAAACTAGCGTTACTGTGTGTATCAAGGATCTCTATCAAATGAAGACAGTTTTAAAATGTTTTGTAGACAAACGGCACAAATTACCACAAACGGTGAACAAAAAAAATCACACACGTTCCTTAGTTACACTGTAATTGGTAGCAGCTTCTTTGTATGATAATGCAAGGCAATAAAATTAGGGTATTTCGACATACGTTAATCACACAGGCTTAAGCATTGTGGCCTAGCAGCTTCCGACAACGGAAGCACAGTCGGTGGTGCTCCATATATCAACTAACACATACTAAACACACAAGCATACGAAGGATACAATTAACACACATGACACACAGAACACCACAAGCTGTTGAAACATTAAATGATTGCCCCACGTCAATAAAAATCCTAAACAACATCCTAATTCCTGAAAAAGATGTTAGCAGTACGAAAGAATGAATGAATTAATAAATATTCCTTTGCAAACACACACACAGGAAGCACAGCACATAACACACAGGACCTGCTGGAGTCCAGTTCTCGCAAACACAGTTAGGAAAGCACATACACGACAGACACATAACAGCCTGTGCGGTCACAAATAGCTCACACATCATACCTTAACCCTTCTGCCTTTCTCACATCAAAACAGACTACTTGTAGAATCTCCAGTTGTTTGATATTTGATAGGCAGGACCAAAGAGCCAAAGCTCAACCTCCGCGCAAGCGCAAATAGATGAGCGCAAGATTTGTGCGCTTATCAAATATACATGTTCCTTAACAAGGTTTCCGGGGCTCTATCACTGCTGATGAAACCTTGACGTGTGGGTGAGAACACGGCTTTACTAAAACAACAATAAAATGGGACAAACGCTTCCTGCTTCCGTCATCTTGAGGTTATCTTGAGATGATTTCGGGGCTTTAATGTCCCCGCGGCCCGGTCCTCGACCAGGCCTCCATCCCCAGGAAGCAGCCCGTGACAGCTGACTAACACCCAGGTACCTATTTTACTGCTAGGTAACAGGGGCATAGGGTGAAAGTAACTCTGCACATTGTTTCTCTCCGGCGCCCGGGATCGAACCCGGTACCACATGATCACAAGTGCAGCGTGCTGTCCGCTCGGCCGACCGGCTTCTGCTTGGAGAAAGATGCAGCGACACCTTCACCAGAGAACACTGCAAGACGTGTCAAATATTCTACCCTTAATTTGAAACTTTTATATTCAAATCCTTCGTATTTATTGTATTTTCGGGTCTCGGTGTCACAATGGCTACGTTCGCGACTCACAATTGATCATCCCGGGTTCGATCCCCGGTCGGTCAGGAATGGCTGGCACGTTTCCTTTCACCTGATGCCTTTGTTCAATTAGCAATAAACAGGTACACGGGAGTTAGGCAACTGTTATGGGGTCGTATCCAGGGGAGTGCCAGTAGTGCCACCTTGGGGGGCCTCGATATAGGGAGGGAGGGAGAGAGAGAGAGAGAGAGAGAGAGAGAGAGAGAGAGAGAGAGAGAGAGAGAGAGAGAGAGAGAGAGAGAGAGAGAGAGAGAGAGAGAGAGAGAGAGAGAGAGAGTGAGTGTGTGAGTGTGTGTGTGTGTGTGTGTGTGTGTGTGTGTGTGTGTGTGTGTGTGTGTGTGTGTGTGTGTGTGTGTGTGTGTGTGTATATATATATATACATACAATGCATGTGCATTGCTGAGCCACAACAACCCTCCCCTGTCCCCCCTGTCCTCCCCTTCCATTCCCACTCCCCCGTCCCCTCGTCCTCCCCACCATCCCCCACTTCTCTGTTCCCTTGTCCTCCCCCACTCCCTCATCCTCCCCCACCATTACCCCAACCCCCGTCCCCTCGTTCTCCCCACCATTACCCACTCCCTTTCACCCCCCCCCCCCCCCCACCATTCCCCACTCCCTCGTCTGATGCATTACTAAATGATCTAATGTTCCCATCAGAAAAATGGAAACATCAAATGATCTGATGCTCCATCACTGAAAAATAAGTAGAACAGTTAAAAAAACATAATGAAAAACAATGAAAAATATATAAAAAATAAACTATACTTACGAAATGAACAGAATGGTAAACAACACAGCTAAATTCCAGTGCAATGTCACAAAATAAATTAATCAAAATGAAAATAAATCGAAATCTATGAAAATTAAATTGATCAACGCATTTGGAAACATTGAAATGGAATCGTAGCATATTTAGTAAAGCGTGTGTTGCTATTACGTATCACTGTTAAAAAAAAGCAAACATACTTTTACCTGTCACAGGTGAGGCATGAAAGTGTCAAAATTTCAAAACAATCAGTGAAGAACTTTCGGAGATTAGCGATTTTGAACAAACGAACATTTAAATTTATATATATATATATATATATATATATATATATATATATATATATATATATATATATATATATATACATATATATATATTGTGGCACGATGTTCCGCCTCTCTCCTGGCAATGAGTCATGGTGTGGCGCCATGCTCCACCCCTCCCACTACAAATGTCACGGTGTGGCGCCATGCTCCACCCCTCCCACTACAATGTCACGGTGTGGCGCCATGCTCCACCCCTCCCACTACAATGTCACGGTGTGGCGCCATGCTCCACCCCTCCCACTACAATGTCACGGTGTGGCGCCGTTCTCCACCCCTCCCACTACAATGTCACGGTGTGGCGCCATGCTCCACCCCTCCCACTACAATGTCACGGTGTGGCGCCATGCTCCACCCCTCCCACTACAATGTCACGGTGTGGCGCCATGCTCCACCCCTCCCACTACAATGTCACGGTGTGGCGCCATGCTCCACCCCTCCCACTACAATGTCACGGTGTGGCGCCATGCTCCACCCCTCCCACTACAATGTCACGGTGTGGCGCCATGCTCCAGCACTCATACGCGCCAGACAACGCATTACCGTTTTCGCCAACACTACCGCCACTCATCATGAAAATTGAAATGCAAATTTCCCAATGAATTTCGGGCAGCCATCCTTCGTGAAGCAGTGCTAGAGTGGCGAACTCTTGCCTCTACATATTTATAGACAATGACACTATCATACATACATACCAGCTGGTGAACAAAGACGAAAGGACAAATACAAAAAGCAGACACACATTCAAGAGTGTGAGAGAATTGCTAGATCACACATACAGTTGCTGCACTTGTGCGAGCTCCGACAAAGTCATGTGCTGTCACAAGATTCAGTTTCTTAGTAAGTTTGTATAAGTATTTACATAGATCTTGGTTAAATGTAGTTGTAAATGAGGCTTAAAATATTGATATTTGAAACTTTAAAAAAAGAATACAAAACAGCCTTGCTGAGAACCATCAAGTTAGTTTTGTTTTACCTGCTTGGGTGACGTATAGACCCCACACGTTTGACAAAACCCATACTTTAAGGCAAGACGTCTCCTCACTTCTTGGTCAGGGTCGTGTTGTGAGAGGTAGTGAGAGGGGTCGTGTGGGTCGTCCTGCTGGTGCCCCAGTTGGTCTTGCGACACATTGCAATTGTCGGGTTTGTGATGCTGGTGGTGGTGCTCTGGCGGGTCGTGTGAGGCGTGGCGTTCGTCTTGGTGGTGACGATTCAAGTGTCGGTGCTCCGGTGGGAGCCGTGACGGGCAGCGTTCCGGTGGGAGCCGTGACGGGCAGCGTTCCGGTGGGAGCCGTGACGGGCAGTGCTCCCCATGCTGCGACACCCACCCTTCCTGGTCACTGCTCACCTGCGGGCAACACAACTCTCACCATAACATTTACCGAGAGGTCAAGGCAGGGAGGGAATTATCGGGGGAAAGCGTCAAGGCAGGGAGGGAATTATCGGGGGAAAGCGCCAAGCCCTTACGACTATATAGCACTGAGAAGGGGTCAGGATAAGGACGGGAGGCATCTCCCGTCACGCAGGGTGCAGTCGCACCTCCACTGATCTCCAGTATCATCTATTGATACTGGTAATGGCTCAAAAGGGCCACCACTTACGGGCTATTCATGCCCGTGCCACCTTTTGGGTGGCTTAATCTTTATCAATCAATCAATCAGAATAAGGATTTGGGATGGGACGAGGGGGGGGGAAGGAATGGCGTTGTTTGGATGTGTGATAATGGTATGATAGACAGGATACTTAGGAGCTACAAGAATTTTGCCCCAAGAGTGTAACAATTATATGCTGTGCTTACTATATTAACCTGCAATGTTAAATGGGATTCTTGTAATGTTATTTGTACTCACTGAATTTGTGCGCCCCTTGAGGGACTTGAAGTAGAGGGGGGTAGAAATAGCCTAAGCTACTCTACCCCTTTGAGATGTAGTTCTTTCTTGTCTCAATAAACATATTTGAACTTGAAGGAATGGCGCCCAACCACTTAGACAGTCGGGGATTGAACGCCGACCAGCATGAAGGGAGACCGTCGCTCTACCGTCCAGCCCAAATGGTCGAGGCAGGAAAAACATCACTTTTCAAGGTGCCTACCGTGAGATTCAACGATTAATGAGCTATCATGCCATGGACCTCTTCTTTTTCTACAGGTTGCAAAACTGCTTTCATTATTGTTAATCGAGATATATATTATCCTGTCCAACAACAGCTTTTATGTCAGATATCATACTGTTAACACTGCTTTGGTAACTATACTAAAATAAAAATGGTCTTGCCATGATAGTCCACCAATTGATGAAAGCAGCACAGCGAGAAGGAAAAAAACACTCAACAAGTCCCCTAAAATCTTAATTATATCTAAATGTAGGTTTTATATATGGAAAGTAAACGGTAATTGAACCTTACAAGTACCGTGTATGCTCTAACCTTAGCAACTGTATTCAAGTATGGAGACCTCACCTACACAAAGACATTATTTCAAATAAAGTTCAACATATGGTGACCCAGGAGCATCAGAAATATTACAAGAACAACCGTGGACATCTTCAAGAGGAAACTAGATTGTTTCCTTCAAGGAGTACCGGACCAACCGGGCTGTGGTGGGTATGTGGGCCTGCGGGCCGCTCCAAGCAACAGCCTGGTGGACCAAACTCTCACAAGTCAAGTCTGGCCTCGGGCCGGACTTGGGGAGTAGAAGAACTCCCGGAACCCCATCAACCAGGTATCAACCAGGTATCTGCGTTGGAGAAAGTTCAGCACCGAGCGACGAAAAGTATCCCAGAACTAATTCGACTCTCATACAAGGAACTGTTGAGGGCCACCGGACTAATAACACTGCAAACCAAAAATAGCGGCTAATCTAATTGAAACTTAAAATACTGAAAAATTTGGAGGATATTGATCCTGGCCACTTCTTTGAAAGGTCAAATGTAACACATACAAGAGCAACGGTTTCAAGCACGACAAGCCACAGTGCAGGACTGAGAACAGGAGATGCTTTTTCACCCATAGGGCTATAAACCCAAGGAACCCCTACCCACTGAAGCAGTAAATACCAGGATATTGCTGTAGTTCATAATCCAGCTGGATAAAATCATCAGGAAAATGGGAAAACATTTGACAAAACGGTGGCTTCCTGTCCCTGTCGAGGCCACTAGAGGGCTATTAGCCCCCAGGAAAATTCAGATAAATTTATCTCGGAAATAACTCGCCGCTATTATTACTAGGTACTTGGCGCTATATAAACGTATAATTAATCTAACCTTTGGGTTAGATTTACAATCTTGGTTCAGTTCCCCAAGGAAAACTCAGATAGGATGGTATAAGGCTGTGAAGCTCAAGAGACGCACGTCTCAAGCACCAGAGGATGAAACACTGAGTCTGCTTCAAGCTGTGCACACGCAACTGTCCTCCGGGGTCCTTGGAAACCCTAGTGTTTCCGCCTCGCTATGACACGCAGTGTTCCAGGGGAAAGTACTTTTCAAGACTGAATGATTGGGTGGATAAAATACCGCTGACACTGTTGCAACAAGATTATTGTATTTAAATACAACTATACATAAATACATATTCAACAAATCAAGTCTTGAATTATTATTTGGGGAGAATAAGAGGGAGAAATTATTTTAATTAAAATACAGGCAGCCTGCAGGTGACTCATAACGCCTTAACTCGGCGAGTCATCTACTGTCATTATATTGAAACTTGTGAAAGGGATTACGTCAACGTATTTGACAAATGATGCAACGAGATTCGGTGATCTGCAGTTCAGTTTAGATGTCTGAGTACTCGATGTCGACAATGTTCCTCTTACAAATGTTTTGTTGGGGTCTATGATTAAAGAGTCGAACAGTCATCTAATCTGGGAGATGTCACTATCAACTCACCGTAAGGACACTGCTCCACACTGAGCTAACCTAGCCTAGGAAACAACATTTTATAAGCCTACTTATTGCTGAACACGATGGAAATTAATAATGAATCATTTAACATACCTGATAGCGCTTCATCCCCTGAGGTTTTGTTTTGGGTGAGATGAGCGACAGATCGTTTGGGATGGTGTGGTGCTGGTGCTCACTGTCCTTCACAAGTCTCAGGTGAGGGACTGGTAAAGTAGTGTGTGCTTGGTAGGACCTGGTGGTCTCTGCCTCTCTGTTACTTGTCGCCGGCAACCTGTGAGTGGTGGTCCTCTTCAAGCACTCACGCTCATCATTATCCACAAACACAGTATCCATCCTTGAGGTGGCAAGAGGATCAGAAGCCAAGTTATCGAAACGTCGAGATCTTGAAGGATCTGCTCGACTACACTCAGGTTTGTAGTCATGTTGGGGATGGTATGCGTGCCGGTGGTGGGATGGCTGGTCGTGGCAGGTGGAGTAGGCTCCTCCCCACGCCTTCCTTACCGGGTTCTCTGTCGGCACCGAGAGATACCTCCCACGATTTGGTAGATATTTCCCTATGTTTTCAACATATTTGTAATCTACAAACGGTCTTTGATGGGTTAAATTATTCGTCTTAGGCGCTCGATCATCATTTCTGTTATAATAGTAAGGTCTATCTGTGTACCAGACCTCGTATTCATCGCGTCTTCTCTCTTCAGGCTGATGATCAAGTCGCCGCGTCATATAGTTGTAGTAGTTACCGCTGGTTGGGGTATTGTAGTGAGGGTTGCTGGGGGAGGTTGGAGCCCTGCTGCCGTAATGAGGCTCTGTGGTGTCTCCCAGGTCACACTCCCGGCCCCTGGAGCCTCCCACCACACTCTCGCGCCTCCTAGCATGCATGCGATGAGGGTTAAAAGGTGGACTTGGCGTCCAACTCATTGGAGTAGGTAAGGTGGGCAGCTGTTTTGTTGAGTACGACGCACCTAGCCCTAAGCACCTGGAAATGCCTGCAGAATGAGAAAAAATTACCTTCCTGTACATGCACGTGGTCCTACCGACTACTCTGGCTTTCAAAATACCATTTAATATTCAACTGACTAACCCATTTTAACGTTAAAGTTATATATATATATATATATATATATATTTACCACAACCTGAGATACTAGTTTTAAATGTGCTATGAATTTTTAATGCGCTGTTTATCACTAAACGAAATTCAGATGAACATTCAGATTAAACTAAGATACACAAACATTCAGTCACTTACACAGCAGCCCCTGTCCTCCTATTTAGTTATTCCACCTACACGGACTCGAAATTTCAAGATGACGTGGGGTCATACATACTTCTTAACGACGTCTGATAAAGTACCTCACGAAAGAGTGAGGGTAATTAACAGATCAACGAAGCGATGGTTACAATGAAGTGGGGCTTACAGTAAGGTGAAGAGATGATGTGGTTACAGTGAGGTGGCAGGTGTAGAGAGGAGGTTGCAGTGAGACGTGACAGGTGTAGAGGAGTGGGGATTGCAATGAAGTTGCAGGCGAAGATGAGAGGTGGTTACGGTGAAGTGGCAGGTGCAGAGGAACGGGAGTTACGGAGAGGTGGCAGGTTGTTGTTTTAGATTCAGCTACTCGGAAGAAAAAGTTCCAAGTAGGACGGGTTACGGTGAGCCCGTAGTGGACTTACCTGGCACAGGAGCGGGGAAGGTGGCAGGTGTATAGGAACGGGAGTTACGGTGAGGTGGCAGGTAAGGGAGGCTCACAACTCACCAGAATTGTCAGTGTTCTCATTAAAGTGTTTTGAGCGACGGGGAGCGAGAGAGTCCGGAAGGCAGCCTAGGTCCACTGTATCCCGATGGGCAGGGGGAAATGCGTTGTCTCCTCCTCTATCTGGTTCTGGCCTGGTCGGTCTTCGCTGGCGGCGGAGATATTTGTTGGACACCACACACACCCACACGCAGCCCAACAGCAGCACCACGCTCAACAGAGTCCCCAACACTGACACCACCACCAGCAACTGCCATTTCTCGGCTCCTAACGCCAGATGACATCTTTGTGAAACGCTTTGCTTCAGTAATGACATTAAATTTAATGTTACATTGCTGCAAAAATGATAGGAAATAATTTTAAATTACAACCCCTGCTTTATGTTTGTGCAGTTTCGTCTTAAAAGCAGTACGAAGTCAAATCTGGAAGTATCTCTATCACGTGGGATGGTTTGTTAAACGTGCAAAGAGAGTTTACTTACCTGTATTGTGATCAGTGGGCTAACATAACCCGCGAGTGAATGAAATAGTTGCACAACTTTAGATATCTCTTGAATTTTGGACCCAAATTAATTTATAATTGGACACTAATATTCTAACTGGGAGATTCGCTACCTGCCGTCGTAACAATATCCCAACCTAATTCTGGTAATTACTTACACTTTTTGCAGGTGGCTGCCTCGTGCTGGCCGTACATATAGTACCCCCGGTGTTGGTGCAGACTAGTACTCAACTTACATCGTACATGGCAAATCATCGTACGAGGCGAGGATATTAGGTGGAAACAACTAGCGTTATGACTGACTCAACGTCTGTAACCACGCATATAATTGTACATAATGTGCCCAAATGAATCACAATGAAGACACAAATAATTGCTTCAGTTAAAATGAGGAACAAATGAAATGTAGAAATATATACATAATGGGAAGTGCTTTAATGAAGCTTCATTTATAAACAGACTATAGTGGGGTACCCGGTGTTGACCAGATCTGTCTCCGCAACCCACTTCCCCCATTTCATACCCTCTCCCCCCTCCATTTTAATAATTATTAATAATTCATTGTGTCGGGGACAGGCAGCCTGTATATACATTACAGTACATGTTAGGCTTATATTGAGGTATTCCCCAGGGTCGAATTACTGACCCTCCCAAGGATGCAACCCCACAATAAGCTGACTAACTCCTGGGTACCTATTTACTGCTAGGTGGACAGAGGCATTAGGTGATAAGAAACGTGCCCAACCATTACTGTCCCTCCCGGGTTCGAAACCGGAATTCTCGATTGAGAGTCGAGAACGAACCCGACAATACTACTGAGACCCTTAACCTAAATTTTACCTCCTCTTCCCCTCTCCTCTCCTCATCCTTTTGTCCATTTATCACCTCTTCCATTTATACAAATACAAATATATATTCGGGTAAAGTACATACATACAAGGTGAGATACAAAACGTTGATGGATTTATAGAGCTAGTACATACAGTGCCTAAAGCCACTATTACGCAAAGCGTTTCGGGCACGCACGTCGTGGATGCACATAATAGGAGAATTATTATCTCCCCATCTTACATCTTCACTATATATACTATCTTCATTACCATGATCATCTTCACTACTCACTATCTTTATCACTAACCATCTTCCTTATCTACATCACTAACCCAAATGAATTCAGTTCATCGTTTTCAAGTGAATCATGAAAAACTGTGGAACAAACTCTACGGAAAGCACATCCGCGATTTAAATTCAGACTATGAAAATCGCACAGGAGATGGGGTTAAAGATTTATATTATTAAAAATATTTAACTTAAGCCAACTCCGACCAGTCTATGTTCGTCCCATACCCCAAACTAGGTTTTCTGCAAAGTTGGGTGAGGCTAGCCCCAAGCGTCTGGCCTCCAGCCTTTGACAGACATTCTCCTATATATAATTATCTGGATAGGGAACTGTATGGTGAAGACAAATATGGTGATGTACAGAGGTTGTACGTACCAGATTCCTTCTGGTTCTCGGGTGAGAGTGTGGTGGTGAAATTCATGCCCCTCTGGCCATGCTGGGTGCTGGTGATCACAGGTGAAGGTCATATGTGGAGGTCATAGGTGGAGGTCAAAGGGGGAGGTCACAGATGGAGATCATAGTTAAGGGTCACTGGTAAAGGTCACAGATGGAGGTCACAGTTGAAGGTGATAGATTGAAGGCACAGACGAAGATCACAGGGGCAGGGCACAGGTTGGGGGGTCATAGGTGAAGGTCACAGCTGAAAGTTACAGGTGGTCACAGGCCAAATCTCTCACCCCCTCTGTAAACATATCTCGCGCTAGTCAGCACGAGCCTAAACCTAATTACATCAAAATAATACATTTTTTTCAATAATTTGTAGTTTAAACAAATTATTAAATAGAGTTTTTGATGTTTAAAGGCGTACAGTAGCCATAATATTAATTAAAATCGTTACTGAATATCGCAGTATGAATTCATCTGAATTAACAGGTAAAGAAGACAGGTGTACAAGTAAAAAGAAAAAGAAAAGAAGTAGAAAGAAAAAGTAGCCATAATATTAATTAAAATCGTTACTGAATATCGCAGTATGAATTCATCTGAATTAACAGATAAAGAAAACAGGTGTACAAGAATGTAACAACTCTTGTATATATATATATATAAAATACAGTATTTTATATATTTATATATTAGTATTTGTATTTCCTTCATAATAGAAGTTATAGACATGAATCATTATGAAGTGTTGCTGATCGAGAGAGACGTGCTATAGGCTGTGTAAATTATTATTTTTAATAATAAAATTAATCTGCATAATTTTATCTCCTGCTCCAGTAATCATAATGAGCGGACTAGCTAAAAAATAGATATGTTAACTCTAATATCTCCACCTCGCGAGATGGTTTGCCATACATGGCTTTGGGAGTCATTAATGGTAAAACTTGGATGTGGAAGATGTGAAGTTATGGCAGGCCGGTAGTCCCCGGGCGCCGCCACCCAAACATTCAACATGGATCCTGGCGATACTTTCCTCTATCTCTGGCAGCAGAGGAACTTTGAGAGCGAGACAGGCACCGTAGCACAAAAGGCAGATACAATTAGATTTAATCTTTCTCAATTGCACTACTTGAAGTGTAATTTCAGGTAAGTTTCCCCATGTACGTCACACATGGCAGGAGTTTCGGGTCAGGTCGCTCCTCATTTATTCACCATATCTTATTCAGATCTGACCTGACAGGTACATATATTGTAGTAGAGCACATATATATTCCTCGCAGAGGGATTTTAAGCCATAACCCAAGCTATGGCCTTCCCATACTCGTCCTGTGGGCGGTGGTGGAAGGGTTACTGGCTCATAATGGGTTCAGTAACTGACTACAGTACCTGAGTTTACCTGAGGGGCCACTGTATCTCTAGTAGCCTCGATGAGGACAGGAAACTGGCGGCTTGTCAAAGATAGACATATAAAATCTTCATCAATTTGCAACATTGTATACAAAATATATTGTTGAGATAAAGTACTGTAATTAGGTTAGAAATAGGGGACTGACCAGGGAGGCCGATTTGTTGCCTTTATTTCCTCTAGCAACTAAAATAAGATTTAATATTTTTGTTGACATTTAGTCCTATGAGTACCCAACCACCTGGGCTGGACGGTTTAGCGACGGTCTCGCTTCACGCAGGTCGGTGTTCAATCCTCGACTGTCCAAGTGATTGGGCACCATTCATTTTCCCCTGTCCCACCCCGAATCCTTATCCTGACCATTTCGAAGTGTTATAATGGCTTGATGCTTTCCCCCTAATATATCCCTTCCCTAGTCCTATGAATACTGCCTCAGTAGCCATTTGAAGAACTAGTGTTATTTAAGTGAACCAATTTATACTTGTGTTGAAATATTTAAATTGGATTACAGTACCATGGAGGGTAAAAATCTAATGAATTCTTACAGGGTAAAACCGCATGAAAGATGGGCAAGGCAATTGTTAGCACATGGAATATATTACAGAGAGGTGTGGGAGAGGTGCGTGTATCCAATTTGTTATTGTATCTAGGCGTGGAGACCTCATCTTCAGAAAGACACAGCTGCAGTGGAGAAAGTTAAACACAGGCAACAAAAATCATTCCAGAACCAAGTCAACTCTCAAGCCAGGAATGGTTGAGGGCCTCAGGATTAACAACATTGCAGACCAGGCATGACCTGGTAGATCTTGTTAAAACATTTATGTTGATCCAATTTCATTAAAAGGTCAGATATAACACAAACCAAGGAGCAATTGTTTTAAAGTCAGTAACCCACAATGCAGAACTGAAAAGAGCAGATAATTTTTCAACCAGAGGGTTATAAACTCTTGAAACTGCCAACCCACCAAAGCCATAAATACTAGAGCTCTGTTAAATTTTAAAATCCATCTGAAAAAAATCTCCATAAATGAACTCCATAAATACTCGGAAGACTGACAAATGCTTTTTATAATAATTAATACAGGGTCATTGTGTCAGGGGACCGGCAGCCAGCATATACGTACAAAAGATATTCTTATATCAAGGTTTGCCCCCACCCTCATTCCACCCTGGGGTGGTGGAATTACTGACTATCCCCAGGATACAACCCACAACAAGCTGACTAACTCCTGGGTACCTATTTACTGCCAGGTGGACAGGGGCATTACGTGATAGAAAATGCATCCAATCATATCTGTCCTGCCTGGGATTCGAACCCAAAATTCTCAATTGTGGGTCAAGAACAAACTGGACTGAACTATTGGGACCCGGGACCCTCAAATATTGAATTTTCCAAACAAAAAAATTAGTTTGGAAAGAATCTTCAGGAACAATATGGGAATCTTTGACAAAACTATTGGTGTGGTGTCCTTGTTGAGGCCACTAGAGAGATGGTGATCCTCAAGTAAATTCAAGTAAAACCCCTAGCCTTTATTTTATTCCTTATGAATAAAACCCAACATGGATGGTAGAAAAGAGCCTTCCTGTGCTGGTGTGGGTTGTTAACCTGCTGTGACTCTACACTGCTCCCTATGGGAACAGAAGGACCTTGCATGAAGAAGCAATCTGAGCTGTACCACTAGGTACACCTCAGGAAAACTTAACAACTATCAGTGTAGTGTAATTGTAATGCTATGCAAAGTGTTAACTCTTATGATCATTGCAGAAATTTCCATGAATGGAGTGACATTTATTCACTGGTTTGTAAGTGTAAATTAATTATTTTAACATTGTAATTTTTGTTATATAGGTATTGTAGTTAATTTATAAATTAATTTGTCTTAACAATCATTTATATACAGTACACCATTAATAATTGTTTCCTTTTTTTTTTTAGTGATATCAATGATTTGACTGTTTCAAGTAAGACTCGGAAACTGTTGTTCGATTATGGGCAGCTCATGGATAATACAGAGAAAGATGGAGGACTTAATAACTATGCTGATCCTATCCTTACTCTTATTGGTAATAGTAAAAATGGTAAGGCTTTCTTTTGGGCAACTGCTATGGTAATCAGCATGAAATTTACAATAGTAAGGTTGACAGCCACCACTGGTTGTCCACCACCTTTACATAAAATTGTTTGTCTCGAAACTTCCACATGAAATTACATATGTAATAATTTGAATAACATATCAATATTGTAAGAAAAGTGTTTTATGTATCTTCAAGTATAAAAATCTTTAAGGTCGAGAATGGCACAGCACTAAAATTTACCAACGTGCCATACTTCCTTGCATGTAAATATCATATCTTAATAATGTTGATCTCAAGATACAAGCCATTGAACAAAGGGGGTAGATAATGCCAGTTGTCAGCTATGATTTACAACTGATTGTTGGCCATGGTTGATAGTCAGCCATAGCTGGAATTAGTTAAAAAAAAAAATTATTGAAACACCAATTGTATGTATATTAAGAAATGTTTATAAAATCACAGCCACAGTCATATCTGTATGGTTTCCCATATGCAATACTTATTGAGATATTAACAGGTATTTAGGTGTCCAAACTCATGGCATACACCAGGTGTCCAGCCCCCTCGGGTGCTTTTACTTGTCTGGGTAGTCTTATTACCCATTTGTGAAGGAATTTTGCCAGTATAACCATGTATAATATATACCTTATTATACCCATCTTTTCAATACTGTACTGTACTATTAGGCCTGGTCAGAGATTGGCCTGTAGGGACATTAATCCTTGGAACCAACACTAGGAAACATTCCTATAACAACATGGCAACCACATGGCCAGATACTGCTGTGGTCCCTTGCTGGACATAGGCATTGACCATTCCAAAGTTTGGTGGCTCGTTCCTTGTGAATCACTGAGAAGATCTGATACTAATATGCAAGGTAGGACTAGTCAGAGACCAGGCTGCAGGAGCGTTGATCCTTGGAATCATTGGCAGGTAAGGTAGCATGGTGTTGACATGTGTTGGTAGTGTTTTCATTTGATTTGAAGGTTACTAGTCTCAGTGGCTAATCCACTCTTTTAGGTGTCTACCTTTGCATCTTTCTACAGCCTAAAGATCTTGAATATGCTTGAAAAGAAAAGAAAATTGTATATAATTCTTTTTTTTTTGTTTTTGCATTAGGACATAAACATGTCTTGCAGTCTTTATAAGAAGCATGCACACAAACATGCAAACACTTTGGTTTTAATTTGATTGAAACTGTCTTAGATATATAGTCTATTTATTCAGTACATATTTTTTATATATACTGTATGTCCATCATATATTTTTTTATATTTCCATATAAACTGAATATGCATTATGATAAATTGCATTTTTTATTGTAAATATTTTGTGAAATTTTGTTTCTGCTTACCAGAGAGCAAAAGCTGGAAATGTAACTTGCAATCAAAGGATATCATTGATAAATACTTGAAGCCCCTTCCTTCAATGTCCAGCATGCTAGCGGAAGACGCCAAGAAACTAGCACACTTGTTTAATCAACGCAAGGAGAGACAGGTAGCACAAGAACAACAGAGTGATGGATGCACGAGTACAGAAATGGCAGTGTCAAAAAGTCAGGATTTAACACAAGCCAGGAATGAAGTATCATTTAACTTAGTCAATGAAGATTTTACAGATTTGAATACAGCAGTTGGGAGAGGCCAGGTAAGAAATAAAGATGGAGACATTATAGTTATCCAGCTTGCTTTGATGCTGAGATTAGCTCATTAAAATGTGTGTAATGTAAAAACAAATGAAAGATTTGTATTAATCTGTGTTAATATACAGTTCTGGGCCATCACTAAGCTCTCAATTGTGGGTCAAATTGTCTGTCGATAAATAATTAGGTATCACAAGCAAAAGGAAATACAGTACCTTAAAGTTTTCAACAGATTATTCACAAATTTGTTTGGTTTTGTGTAATATTTTTAGAATAATTTTGCATTATACTGTATTTGAAATAAAATAATTTTGCATTATATTTGAAATAGAATACCCTTGCACTAAATTTGACATTTGCAATTTTACTGAGACCTTGCAAAACTGCCTTCAAGTACAGGTTTTTACATTCCCAGGCTGTTCCCAGTGTAGAGATTGCATTTCCTGTACTTTTCTATCAGCTGGATTATGAGCATTTAATTTAGCCCACATGTGCTAAGTTGAAGCTTTTCCTTTTTGGGTTCCTGATGCTTCACCTGGGTTCCCTCTTGGTTATTTTTATCCTATGTGGTAGGAGGTTGGTGGCTTCAGGTCCTGTGGCTTCACTGGATGTGCCCTTCCCTTCCCTTCCCTTCTCTTTGGGTACTGGCTGGCCAGGGATTGGTTTGGATGTGCCCAGGGCTTCTTTCATTTGGATCCAAGTTCTTTTCTTGGTTCAGATATGGTCCCACACCTGGATCCAGATCCAGGTGTGGAATCTGCATTTCTCTGTGTGTATTTTATTTCTCTTGATCTTGGGTTTCTTATCTCAATAGTAGGTAGTTTTCTGGCCCCTTTAAACCTTACTACCACATAGAGGAGACAAAACTTGAAAAAAAGTACTTGTCTACAGTATGCCAAGAATGTCACAAAGAGCTTTGTATGGTCAGTGTCTTGTGTGTGTGTGGTGGTGATTTAAGCTAAAGGTAACTACTGAAGTGCAACTATGATAGGGGCATTTCATTATTCTCAGTGCTTCATTACAAAAAAAAGTCAACTTTCTCAGGCTCAAAATTTTGTTTTAGTCGAGGCCAGTCTACCAATACATCTTGAATTATGAATTACTTTTAGAGGTCATTCCATGTTAGCTTCATTAGCCTCCAGTGTCTCCTTGTCAACAGTATGACTTCTCAGGAATTTTTTGAATATACTTGTTGCATTGATGGGGAGTGTTGACCTACCATGACTGTACATAGCATTGTTACTGAAAACAGTATGAACATGTCTAAGAGGGTGGAAAACCGAGTATCTCAGTTGTAAAGTAGCTTTTCATCTGTCATCAAAGCAAGAATTTTTTTCCTTTTTATGTGATGCAGTATATAGTTATGTGGTTATTAGATACATTGCTTTATATTTATGTACAGTAATTGAGTACATTTTATCCACAGAAAGCACTTGGCACATCAGATGGTCTTCCATTTAGTAATGGAAATGGTGAGTATCTTTCTATTATAAATAAATTTGGATTTAATATTCATTGAATCAGATAAATTATCATATTCATATAACTTGGCTAGGTGAATGTAATTTGAAAGTGCTTAAATTATGTTTTTACAATTACTTTTTGTGATTGAATTTGTCTTCATGTGTTTGAAATGAATAGTGTATATGTTATGAAAGTTGTGGAGCTAATTATTATTGATGAAATCATATATATATATCTAAGGTACATAATAAGGATAATCTTTATTTCTTTGCTGTTTGTCTTAGATTGCTCCTTAAGGTATTATCTGGATTGGTAACAGTCAGGCATGGTGACAATTTGACAATAGTGCAACAACACAATTTAAATGATCCCTACAATGTCATTCTGATGTTAGAGTATTGGAGAACATTCCTAGCTTGGAATAACCTCCAAGAAGGTCAAAGTTTAAAAACCTAATGCCTTAACAAAGCCTCTCTGGGATTACAGTAACTATCAATAAAGTGATTTCTGTTAATAAAAATTGGGCCACTTGACTGCCGATGCCAACTGTTTCCAGTGAGCAGCACCTCGCCCGCAAGCATTCTCCTATCTGAGCCGCATGTTCTTTTTGGCAGTGACAGGTTACAGTTAAGCAAGCTGACTGACATTCAGTTCAAGGGGCTTCTTGTTTTATTTGAAACAGCTTAGTGTGTAGTTTGCCCGTTTATTTGTACAATATTTAAGTTTTGTGTGTGTGTGTGTGTTTTGAGAAGTCTTATTATGTGTGTCTCTTGATTTTACAATTCTGGCCATCATGGGCATTTAATGGAGCACTGCCCTGCTCCTTATTGTCTGAACTGCATTGTTCCTTTTATGTCAGGCATATCCTTGTTGAATGTCCTGATTTCCAGGACGTGCATGTGTGTCTTGCTTCCCGACTTTCCCTCGCAATCATTTGTCCCTTGAAAGACTCCTTGGTGAATCGAATACCTTTGATATTGCTCACCTTATGCACTTTTGTTCTCGTATTGATATCCGTAGTGATATTTAGTGTCTTTTGAACATCCTGCAACTTTGATGGTGTTAAATAGTCTCCCTGGCTTGGCGGCACCTTTTGAAAATTACTTACTTGGCTGGATGAATGCTGGAGTCAAAGAGGCACTGATTCTTGAACCAGAGAACATTTGATTACACTTACCATTTTTGTTTAATGATTTAGGTATTTTCAAGTAGAAAGCTATATGTTTAGGTATATGAAAGTAAAAATGCATTTATCCCATGGTGAAAATATGAATTCTGAACAATTAATAGTCAGTTCATTACTGAAAGAATTATCATGTAAAGTGCATTCATTATGAATACAATTGCTAGTTTTCATAATTTGTTTATGCTTATTATAGATAATTAGTTCATAAATTGCTAAGTTTACTTTTGTTCTTGGTTATCTTGGAAAGTAATTATATGTATTCATATCATGGAAATACCCTTGTATTCTGGTATATTTCTTTGTTACTATATTTCTTATTTATTAATAAATAAATATAATTGTAGGATCTTTCAGAAGGGAAGAGGTAAAGCCCAACAGTAGTGCTACACTTGGAGGGAGAGGAATTCACGGAAAAGGAGGTCCCTATCCTTGGAATAGAAGCAAAATACCTGGGACAAATGAGGGCAGATGTGATGGAAGTGAGGAATCAATGGGAATAGAAAGGAATATGTCTGGTAGAATGGAGTCCTTCAGTGGTTCTTTTGAAGGCACCTCCAATTATTCTGGAAGAGGTAAAGGTTTCGGACCACCAGTGGAAAGATCGAGACAAAATTGGAAGAGTGGATCTATGGTAGACACTTCACGTGAGGTACAACATGGACAGTCTACCAGGAGCTGGAAGGGAAAAGGAAAAGGTACATAGATAATTATAAGAAATTTAATGATGATAGTAGTAGATATTTATAATTAAGAACAGGGTGTTGGTACAACCAAAATAAGGCCTTAGGATTTTGTTGCTTTAGCAAGGATTTTGTATTCAGATGTTCAGAAATTTGTGTTTTGGAATAAAGTATAAGTGCAAACAGTTTATGAAAGTTTAGTATAAGGGTTTGTTTGACAATTTGTTAGAGCATTTGAGTTAAAACATTTTATATATTTGTGTGGTTTCAGAAGTACAAAATTATTTATACAATCATATAATAAACTATATATTAACATTTGTAATGACTTGAAAACTATTTCATTAGTGAATTGTAAAGTCTTTATTCAGTTGTGGCAGTGTAATTAGTATTTATCAGTCTTTCATGCATGCCATAACTTTTCAAATATAAATGTTGTCTTTTTGTATTTTCTTAAATGGCTAAATAGAGTTTGGTTTCTTTTTCAAAAATCATTTTCACAACTTGTAGAGTATAAATTTAAATTTAAACTTTCCTCCTTTAAATTGTCTCCTGGAATCATGTTGTTCTCTCTTGCTGTATTCATATCTACTTGTGACTTGGGAAGATGCACCAGGTTAAGAAAGGATTGTGTTTGTTGATAATATTTTGTATACAAGGGCTTGATCAAATCCAGAGAGAGAGATACAGATGAAAAGTTATTTTCCAAAAAATCTAAATCTAAATTATGTCTCTAATCTCATTGTTGTAAGAAGTTTGTGCTTTGTTGAACAACGTATATGTGTGTTATTTGATTTGAATATTAATGAGTTGATATTCAATCATTTTGCTTACAGCAGGTTCAAGGAGCTACCAGTGCCAGAGTAGTGGTGAAGATTTTGGTGATGGGCTAAGAGGTATTGGGAGTGATCCTTCTGACAATTATTTTAGGACAGCCTCTCATCAACTGGTAGGCAAACTTCCTACTTGGTTTACTGTTTCACTCACTTGCCATAATCATAATTAATAATGTATATGTGCACTCTTACACTGAGAGGACTGATCCTGCATCCATTCCTACCCCCCAGAGCCCATATAGTGAAGGTTACATCTTAACACACACAGTCAGCAACAACATACATCCTCACTACATGACCTACAGTATTCACTACAGACAATTTTCACTATACATTACATGATATCTTGAGTCCATTCAGTCTTCATTACATGCAAACTTTTATTGTTAATAGTATTAAAGGCTTTTTTGACAATCCAAAAAGATGCAATCAAAGCATTATTTTATCCTATTGTATTTTGGTTATCTTGTAGAATTGAAAGAGGTTTGTGAGGCATTACTTTGCACCGACCTGCTGAGTTGTAGGTGGAAGCTCCACTACTGGATCACACAGTTTCCTCAGTAGAAAAGCAGCAAAAGGAAGCGCTTCTGCCTGCTACCTGATCTAATCTAAATTTACCAATTATTCCTCAATACTGCCTAACTGAGGTCAAACTTGGCCTAAATTAGTAATTTATTTAGCCAATATAATTTGGTGTTTTCACTAGACCTAGTAGGGTTCTGGCTACAGGTATTACAACAATATACAGTACATACATACATATATTGTTTATGTGTATAAATAAATAAAATAGTTGCAAACATAGTTAAATATTATTGTATGATAAACAAGTCCTTATAGGAAGGAAACTTTGATTCTTTCAACCCCTCTCCCACCCTATTTTCAACTTGTTAGGTGGTATTCTTAAAATGTTGTAGTTTCATTATGATTGTTAATATATTATTCTGCAGCAACTAGAACAGCAGAAGAAGTATGGTAGAGGAGTGAGTGGGGCATCTTATGGGACCGGGAAGAGGTCACTAGGTGTTAGGAGAGCTGTCAACACCAAGTTTGTTCCACCTGTGAGAAAAGAAGATGAAGAAGAGTAAGCTCCTCTTTGTTTTGTTACTAAATAACAAGTTATTTCCCACCTTATTTGCTTATATGATAAGCATCTTTTGCTCATGTCTAATGTTTCCTGAGTTATGCCATTCTGTTGGTCCCTTAATCTGTGTCCTGCACTCAAAAGGACATGACCAACAACAGCTATGCCAATGCCAGATGAACAATCATTATGTGATGCAGTGGAGATATTTTAAAATACCTTGGCTCGTTATTAATGGGGTAAAGGGGGGTATGGGATATTTCTCTATCTAGCCTTTAGGTGACCTCAAGAAGGTCATCAAGCACCAAGCATGCTGTATTTTATGTTATAATTATTTGATAATTGCGAGTTGGCTGCCTTACTACTGCCCCAGACCAAATAATGTCAACACTTGCACTGTCAGTGAAGTAGCAAGTAGCTCAGCTCTCTGTCATCCATGTTAAAGTGATGCAACCATGGAATGAAGGGTAACTCGGCACCATCCCTATCCTCTTACCCCAAGCTCATAAATATTTTAACAAATGTCTTTGCACATTATTTTTACTTAGTTTATGACTAAATTATCAAAATGTTATCAAATAGAATTCAGTGGCTTCTTTCAATACACAGAATTAATAGCTTTAATATATTTCTTACTCAGAGACAGACACAGACAGACATGGGCATATCCTAAGTATTCCACTGATAGTTCCACTTGTGATTGTGTCCATTCCTAAATTGCTGTACTGTGCTTAATTTTGTCCAATTATCCTCAAATATTTCTTTTAATTAGCTGTTAATACTAAAGCATTCTGTTTTCTAGTAGTTTTGGTAGTGAAGGGCTTATGCGAAGATGCATGCCACATAGTAACTCTGGAAGTTCTGGCGTTGCAGCTGAAAACAATCCTTATTCTGAGCTCATGACCGATGAAAGATTGAAGGTATGTATAGTATGCATAGTGTTGTTTTAGAGAAATAAGCTTGAAGTTATCCACGTTTGATCATTATGAATGTCGTTACCTCATTTTCATACAATGTTATTGTGCTAATATTATGGGTTAGTAGTATTGATGGCAGGTTTTTGTTTCAATGCCATAAATTTCCAAATTATGAAGAGGGTGCAATCCAAATTTGTGTAAGTCATTTGTTTGGTGATCCAGACCTAGTCATTCATTCAGTCACTGTTATATTTGGGAGTTAGATTCTCAAACCATGCTCAAACCAAACCTAAAGTTTGATTGGCCTATCTCCTTACTCTAACCTTATCCTCCTATCCCCTTACTCTGTGTCTGATTGCCCCCATAATCCTTTAACCCCATCATTCACCCCCATATTCATTCAGAGTTTTCAGATGCACATTTAACCCAGAATTGTATATCATGTATTCATTCTTTACCTGAAGATGTCCCAAAGAGGAATGAAATGTTGTAACAGTAAATCCTTCAATTATTACTTCAATAAATCCCTCAATTATGCAGGGGGAAATTAAGGGAAGGAAGAGGGAAGGACAAAGAGGGGAACAAGGGGTTCAGGGGGGAAGATAAAGATACAGTATATAGAGATGATGTTTGTGTTTCGGAGGCGAAGATGACCTTGACTCCAATATCATGTCGAAGATTGGTGGCTGTGTGTCAGAAGATGGATGATGAGACTAATGATAGAGAGAGAGAGATATAGAGAGATAGAGATAGAAGTAGAGAGATAGAGATAGAATTAGAGAGATAGAGATAGAGATAGATATAGAGAGAGAATATAGAGAGATAGATTGAGCTCTATCCCCGTCAATGGGGGGAACAAAATATATTTTCCCATTTTTCTTTTTCCTTAACTACTACTACATTTTCTTTTTTTTTCTAATTATTATATTTTTATGTAAATGTACTTCACCTTTTGAACATTATTTAAAAAACTAGAAATGTTTATAAGTAAAAAGGAAGGGGAGTTAAAGCAGTAATTTTCATTATATTGATTAAATGGGCATCATTTATATTGATTTTATTATAAAGTAAAAAGTAAACAAACTTTATCTTTCAGAATATTGAACCTAAGATGATTGAACTTATAATGAATGAAATTATGGATAGTGGACCATCTGTAACATGGGATGACATAGCTGGACTAGATCTGGCTAAAAGTACCATTCAGGTAAGCTATACAGTCTTTTTCTGAACTGTGCCACTTGGTCGCTCCCTAAGTCAAGGTCCTTTCTGATTCCAGTGGAAAAGGTCAGAGGGTCAGAGCAGGTAGACATTCTGCAACAGAGCAGCTGCAATTGTTCAAACTATTGTCATGCTGATGCTAGGGAAACGCTGGAGAAATATTCATTCCAGCTCAAAGTTACTTATTTAAGGTTCATTTAGTCGGCGAAAGCTTTCTAAGCACTACTTGGCATTTAAGATGTCACTTATTGCTAATTCCCAGTTGCCTGCCAGGTTGTAGTCCTGTACATTACTGCTGTCAAGTGGCAGCATTAACATCAACATAGGGTTCTCTAACTTGACTCTCTTTCATGTATATCCTTTCTTACTGATTTTGATGCCAGCTGTGGTATTTAGTTACTGGGCAGGCAATGGGCAGCTGAGTAGAGGACTTGTTTGAACTCATGGAAGAACTTGCACATGGCTTTGAGTTTAATGGAATAAAGTGGCTTCTGTTTGTCATCCCGGGCTGGGATGGTTTTAAAGGTTCCTGGTTGCACTGTTGCAAAAAAAATGCCACTTGCCAAATCAAGATTCTTGTCCAGAGGATGCGGTGGATTTTACCCTGTTCGGCAACTAAATGGAAAAAATCTTGGAAATATTGATGTGAAGAAGTATTGTAATTAAAATTGGGCATTTTTAGTGGTTAATAAAAGCTTGTTAGTCAATATAGGACTTTCATGGTGAAATTTTGTGTCATTAAGTAGTATAAATATGGTCTCTCTAAGATAAGATTGAGTTTAGTGAAAATATTTGAGATATGACTTGCAAGTGAGTATAATTTTTATTTGTCTTTTAGTTGAAGGGTACTTGTGTAATGATGATTTGAATTATGTACCCGAGATAAGAGATATACAGTACAGTACTGCATAATTAGTGGAAATATTGCTTACATAGTAAAAATACTTGTTCATAGAGAAAAAGTGAACAAGATTGTTATTCTGTAGGTACATTAATAGGAAGAAATTCTATTTCTTCCTATTAGTGTAGGAAAATAGGAAAAAAATTACATATGAAATTTTGATTGGATTCTTTCCATGGACATCATCATTGAATTAAAATGTGGACAATTTCAGTCTTGCATTAATATTTGCTAAATTGTTACTAAAAAATATTAACTTAAATACTTATATGTGAGACCTCATCTTAATTTTATCCTCCCAATTGTTTTATAAATATGATGTCTTATTTTCCTTCTTAAATTTGACAGGAGGTTGTGGTATGGCCAATGCTGCGGCCAGATATTTTCACTGGCCTTAGAGGACCACCGAAGGGGATACTGCTGTTTGGTCCTCCAGGAACTGGAAAAACTATGATTGGTAAATTTGACAAGAATTATCAGTTAATCATGATTTGACTAGTCTTTGTCTTAATTATCACTTTATTACCTTATCATTACCAACTGGTAGATCAGGCTCTTCATTCAAACATTTCTTAAAAATAACAGTGTCAGATATATTTATATATATGTCATGGGATGCCATAATAGGCATGATTGTTTATAAAATGAATAGTTTTCACATAGACAAAAAGCAGTGGAATTGTTGGCCAGATCACAGCATCATGTCATCCATTAGGTGTTGATCCACTCTCCTCATGCATCTTATATTTCTGTATTGCTCAAAAGCACTAAACTGGGTGCATAATAAATAGAAGACAGGTACAGCGATGAAGGTGTCAGAATGACGAAAAGGTACAATTTAAATTCAATAATAAATTTTTGGACCCTTTCTGTTCCTGATTTATGTAGAAAGAGACTTCTATATGTCAATGTTTTTGTTAATGTGCAGTTGATCAGGGGAATAGGGATTGAGAAAGATTGCAGAATACTGTAGGACTACAGCTATTCAAATAAGGTGAGAGGAACTATGCAGCATGACAGGAAAGATATGTTTGACTCTTAGATATGGAAGAAATGAGATGTACCTAGGGATTGACATCACACAGCCTGAAGCACTTAAGTTGTTTATTAATGTCAGCAGCATATGTGAAGCTGGCAAATATAAGGACAGCTTTCAGAAATGTAAACAAAAAATCATTCAAAACATTATTTGCCACGTATGTGAGGTAAACATTAGAGTATGCAGCACCAGTATGGAACCCACACCTGTGTAAAATATCAGTGGCAAGACATACATCTTGATACAGTGCAATTGCAAACAGCAACAATATAGAGGAATTTGTGAAGGAACAGAACAAAAATTTCCAAAATTGAGGATGCAAAATATGGATGCACTTGAAAATTAAAAAAAAAAAAGGGTAATAATATAGCAGAGAGAAAATTTCCAAACATTGACCTCATTGAATGTTCTCCAGTACTCCATGGCACAAGTATGACCCTGCAGGGGATTGTTAGGATTTACCCTTCTGCATTGGTGAAGTGTGTTGCACTGCTTGGGACATATCTTCTTCTAATCTAAATCCTAAGAAGAGACTGAAGATCATGATCAGAAGGGCTTTTCATAAGAACTTTGAGCCCTTTATTTTCTGCATCGTTCGTTGAAAAACTTAAACGTAAACTTTCTTTGTAGGTAAATGCATTGCTTGTCAAAGTGGATCAACGTTCTTCAGCATCAGCGCATCATCACTAACATCTAAGTGGGTTGGAGAGGGTGAGAAAATGGTGAGAGCAATGTTTGCTGTGGCAAGGTGAGTTTCTTAACTGTATTTTAAATTTCTCATTTCATAAATTGTATAATAACTGTTGTACATGTCAAAGCTTGACTATCATAAATGCACTTACCACAGTTTTTAAGATTATTTGTCTATAAGGCTATTATATGCATGTGAAATTATGTTCATCAATTTTAATGTGAACATCAAAAATACTGTACTAGGTTATTAGATGAATTACTATAATGCTGTATTCATATTTTTAATAAATATATCAATACCCCCATATATATTTTTTTAAATATTCATGTAAATTTGTATTTTGAATTGCCCTTTGCTTTTACTAGTTAACAATTACTACCATTATTTTCAATTATTTTTTATATAATATATACATGTTACAAAATGCCTAAAACATTTTAATTCTGTATAACCTATAAAATATGTAGATGTTTTCCAGATGTCATCAGCCAGCTGTTATCTTCATTGATGAGATTGACTCTCTTCTTACCCACCGCTCAGATTCAGAACATGAAAGCTCAAGACGCATTAAAACTGAATTTCTTATTCAACTGGTAAGTTAGAAGGTGTGTTGACTCTTTTAACAGTGAACTACAGAAGCAGGGCCTATACTAGGGTGGCCAAATTTACAGGTCTTTGATATTACTGGTGTCACTTTTAAATAAAGGAATCATGCTAAGCAACTACTCTCTTGCTTTTGAATCACAACCTCAAGCCTAATACTGTAGGTTCTTCTCATTTGCAAATGTTTCTGTCTAATCCTTCGTCTAATTCATTTATGTACAGTATATGGTATAGGTACCAGGGCAGAGCAGAGCTGTGGGGCACTCCATTTATAATGGATTTCTACTCAGATTTGACTCATTTATGCTAATATAATATAATTTATATATATAATATACTGTGTGATATATATATATATATATATATATATATATATATATATATATATATATATATATATATATATAATTTTTTTTTTTTTTATCAAGGATGGAGCCACTACAGCCAATGATGAAAGATTGTTGATGGTTGGAGCAACAAATCGACCTCAAGAACTAGATGAAGCAGCCCGAAGAAGACTAGTGAAGAAGCTTTATATCCCTTTACCTGAGAGTAAGGTAAAGTAAGTGTGTTTCTCGGGTGGGTAAAGGGTGAGGAGGATAGGGAAGCTGAAAAATAAACAAATTTTAAGAATTATTTATTAAAATACAGTAGTGGGTTTCACAAAAATATATTGATGGATAATGATTTTAGTTCATTGTTGCTGGAAGTAGTTTGTTGGATAGAGTAAATGTGGGAATGGGAGCTTAGTTACTACTTGTCATCATCTTTGTGTGTGCGGTAAATAACAATGAAATGCATTTGTTTGTAAATTAGAGATGTACATGAATTTTCTAAGGGGCTATTTGTGCTTGACCCCTGCCACTCCTCCTAGGAAAGCCAGGGCAGATAAGACAAATAATAATGTGTGGTGTTACATTGCTTCATTGGTAATGTACAAGCTATGAAATACCTTTTGCTAGTTTAAGTGACTGTGTTTGATATTTAAGTAGGGTTCAAATATGAATGGTTTAGTGTTTAAAAATTATTTCTCTGAATCAAGTAATTATCATATTTAATGTGTATTTCTAGGCTCGTCGGCAAATTATAGAAAAATTAATGACAAATCAAAGCCACAGTTTAGTAACTGATGATATTGAACGCATCTGTCAAATGACGGATGGTTACTCTGGGGCCGACATGACCAACCTGTGTCGGGAAGCTGCTCTGGGACCTATTAGGTCTATTAACTTTGCCGACATCCATCACATCTCGGTTGATCAGGTAAGGCCTTGAGTTGAATATTCTTCAAATTATACGTGTATTTTTTAATTTATCTTGGCAATGTAAAAATTCTCTTAAATATCAGGTAGCATTCTCAAATACACATGGGCAAGACCACCAGGTATATCCTGTATGAATATATTTTATTATCAGTTTATGTTAGACAATATATTAACGTCAGGGGTATGATGGCAGTAGGATCATAAAGATGATTTATGCTAAATCATCTTTCTCTGAGCATTTTGTGGGTCATCTGTTATTGGTATCGAAATAAAACTACTGCTCCTGCATCAGGGCATAGAATTAAACCACATAAATGGCTGGAACTATTCAAATACATGCACATTAAAAAACATATAACAATAATTTTTAATGGATTTTATAAAAATAAATGAGATGTCAGTTGTGTGGTGAAACAGATATGGAATATATGAGGTACGGATATAATCATCGCAAATTAACCGAATCAAGTTAATTGTGTATTATGAGAATTAAAATATTCCTATATGTAACACCCTTACATAATACCCTGGTTTGACAGGTACGTCCAATTTGTGCCGATGACTTCATGAATGCTTTGTATAGCATCAAAGCAAGTGTGTCTGACAAAGATCTTCAGATGTATGAAGATTGGAATAAAAAGTTTGGCATATCAGCCAGATAATCACATTAAAGATTAAGAAAATTAATTAAAAAGAAAATTGCATTTTATTAAGATAAGTATGCAGGATTGAGAATCTAATGGACTTATTTTTTTTCTGAATGAAGAGGTATTTTCCTTTGGTTTTTATCTCATGGAATCAAACATTCTTATGTTAAAGTTCCATATTTTAGTTTTATACTGTATATATGGAAATAAGTATATTATGTACAATGTATGGAAGGCATACTTTATATAATCTTCAGAATGTTTATTTACAAATACTGCATCAGGGATCCTTTACTCTAGGGTGGCAGGAACTGTATCTTTACAGGAAGTGTTTGTCTACTTTTCGTGAGCACAGAGTCAATTTTGTTGTCAATTTCTTCTTGTATTCTGAGCTCCAAATAAAAGCGTGTTCTGTAATTTGTATTTTGTTTGGTTTTGAAAAAAAAAATTCAATGAACATTAAGACTTTTTATGAATATTAAGAGAATTAATAAACTATAATAATTAACTATAATTAATTAATTAACTATAATAAACAATGGGTGTTTCCTTAGGATGATACACTATATTTTGTAGTTTCCATATGAAATAGGTACTTGTCTGTACTAGGTGAGTACCTATTTCATTTGAAAACTACAAAATATAAGGTATCATCCTATGGGAACACCCATTGTTTATTCTAGTTAGAATTTTAATTATCTTAATGTTCAGAGAAATTCTCAATGAAATTTTTTATGAAATATGTGATACTGTAATGTAATTTTGATTAATTAGAAGTGACCATTACTATTGGGGCTTGACTATGTTACTCGGCTGCTTCAGACCTAAATACAGCATTTTCCAGTGTTATGTTTATGTAATCCAATTTAACACAATTTTTCCATAAAAATGATTGAATTTTCAATGTACAGTAACTATAAAAAGTGCATTTATTTTTGGAACTGTTTTGTATGCTAGTAGATCAATGCCATTGGTGAGATTGGCAATTCAGTTTTAAGTGTTACTGAGTAGTCAGCCATATTCGGTAATGTTGCCAGTATAAATAAATTACAGTATATATTTGTCATCTTATGCAAAATTATTAATGATATTGCAATGTCACCTCATTCTGTATGACCTATGTATTTTATTACTTCTAAGCCAAATAAATTAATTAAATTTTGATTTGTGGTATATTAACCCAGCCTCTGTGGAGCAGGCTTCTGGGGTTTGGTAGGTGTAGAATGGTTAAGTACATATAGAGGTACAGTAACATTGATTTGATAAACTTCATGAGGGTGAGATGTTTCCTGTTTCACTAACATCCTGACTACTATTAGATCTGACATCTTCATTCAGTGTAATTAATAATAATTTAATAATTTGTCATAATAGGTTCTTTCAATCAACTTTTGGAAATTTAATGATTTAAGGGTGACAGGAAGTACATTCCTTGTAGGCAGAAGTGGGGGTAGGGCCTGGCAGGACTAATTGAGTTACCCCTGCACACACTTTCATTTTGCATGCATACATAAATGTATTGTTAGTATTCTTTCATCGTTTATCTACCTATGGTATGTTCTACTATCTTCTCAAAAAAATTTATATGTATAGTACATAGTTTATTGTATATTAAAAAAACCCCAGGTAGGAGTATCGCCACACCCAGAGTTTGAAAAATAGGAGTTTGTATGTATATTTTCCCATAATCATCTTATGTTTTTCTATAACTTTATTAGAATTTTTGTGTTTAAAATTACTGTTTTTTTATTTGTGATTTGAAGCACGATATGTGGCGAGAGCAGGCGACAAGAGTAACTCTGCCTTCTTATCCTTACCATAGATGAGAAGGCAGAGTTATTAAAGAAGCATTATCATGGTTAAAGAGGCAAGCAGCTGGCAAAGAATGAGCAGCATTGGTACTAGTGTTGCTTCTGTCAAAAAAATCCGAGGAAATAGATCATATTGTTTGTGAGTAAAACTTTCTTGGCATGAGGATTTGGATGGTGTTGTTTACTGTAATTTGGATCTTGCTGCTGTTGGTGAACAGTTTGTAGAGAATATCATTTACCATGGGCTGCTGTTGGTAAACAGTTTGTAGAGAATATCATTTACTATGGACTGCTGTTGGTGAACAGTTTGTAGAGAATATCATTTACTATGGGCTGCTGTTGGTGAACAGTTTGTAGAGAATATAATTTACCATGGGCATCGAGCACTTCAAGGCCTGTTCAGGACGACTGCAAAAATTGAATAGGTAGCATGACCTAATACACTATAACTGCATTTTGCTCCTTCATTGTTATCCTGACCAGCCTGTGCTTCAAAGAGTAAGTGAAAAAAAAAATTGTATTTTTATCAAGCATAATTATTTATAAGCACACAAAATCATCATATTATTTGTTTAAATATTCATCATATTGCATGCTTTAAGAAAAATCTGGAAGATTTAGTAAAAATAGATTACAAAAAAGAAAAAAATAAGGTTTCTGAAATCTAGATTCCATGTAAATCTGGAATGATAGAAATTGGATTTTTGGAGGTGTCACTAACTGTGTGTGAACTTAATTGACACTCAAAGATGTTCAGGTCCGATTAACTTTGGTGGTAAATAAGAGTGCAATTATTATATACAATTTATTTATTAACAATGAACACTGATGTATACTTAATACATTACACAAGTAATTGTTCATAGCTATTTTGTTATAGAATATTTATATGAAACTAATATTATAATGAATAATCTGCTTATTAAACCATAAACGTGTAACAAATATAAAGTAAAATTTGTAAATATATTAACATTTGATATACTGTACTTCAAGTACAGAACAATGGTTTTTAAATAAATTTAGCTACAATAAGGCACAACTTTTACTCTAATACAAAACCCATTCTTATTAATTGTATGCAGAAATTTTGTTCCAGTCAATATCTTTTTCCTTCAGTGCTGCAGAGCAAATTATTATTAAATTTTGTTCTAATTACATATCTAAAACTACAACAAATTAAACACCATAATACACAGCAGCAAGTGTTGGCTACAGCAAAGTGTGTTCTGTATTGTGTTTTTTGAGCAGAAATAAAATGTTCACGTTCCTTAACCCAATGTTAGTAACCTGAGGCGTTTGCTCATCCTGGCACAAAAATTCACTATGCTGTCAGATATGACTTGACATTTATACTGATATTCCACTATGTGATTATCTGCTTTAATTTGTCGTTGTGATGCAGGGTGCAGAAGAAAATGGCATTTCCCTTTGCTTAGGATATTCTAACATCTCTGGGTACTAATGTGTGGTTAAAACTCAATTATATTGTACACAGCATTGTGTAGAGCAAATTTATTGTTTAAGCTTGTTACATAGGAATATGCATCAAGGAAACTTACAGAAGCAAAGAAAAGTTTATTCCATTTATGAAGGAAAACAAATTGCCAGTGTAGAAAAAATCTAGAAAGTATTGGAAAAATACTTTTACAGTACTTTCCACTGGAAAAATCTAGAAAGTATTGCATGAAGTTCAACAAGAGCCAAGGAGTGTAACACACACATAGTACAAGTCAGTAAACTAGTTGGCGTGACATAGAAATACATTATAAGCGAAGGACCATCACAAGCTGAGGCACAGTCACATAAGGAAAACAAAAGGTAAAGACCAAGTTCATCTAGTTGAGAAGAGGAGGGAAGTCCTAACACAAAAATCACAAAAAAAAAATGTTTGTGAAAGTCGGCAGAATTATTCCAAGAGGTGTGTGCGAGTGAAGACTGCTGGAGAGTTTAGTGAAACTTACAATTAACATGATTGGTGATGTATAATCACATATTCATCTATGATGTTATCACAGCAAAAAAAAAAAAAAAAAGGATCTTCCTTACTTGAAAATTATTATTATTTTAATATAAATTAACATAGGCACTACTGGTGGTTTAGGCATTAGCTTTTAATATTGGTATATAATATGCAGTTATTGAGGCGGCTCTACTATAGATGGTATTGTATAGGCATTTAAAACCATAGCTCTTGACTAGATACTGTACATGTCTTGTACACCATACAAAGTTCTATATTGCACAATGGCATATATTTCTACTCAGTAGATATATATTCAACCTCTTAAATTAATAAGTATGCTCTGTAACCATAATGAAAATGACATCCAAATTTAATTTTTCAACTATTAATGATATTTTTCTTGGTATTAAAATATTTTGTTTGCATACTGAAACCATCAAGGCTAACTATCAATGGCTCAATATCAATATTCACAATACATACTGAATTTTAACTCATTTAAATGTGTGTATAAGAAAAAACAACAATGTGATATCAAAATCTTACTACTTTATTTTGCCATGCCATTGCATTTACTTATAAATAATAGAAATACTGCATACAATTTTTTGTTTGGTCATTATCAATTTGTTATACATTTATTACAACTGGTATAATGCTTCTTCAAGCTTCAGTTTCAAATTAGGTTTATTGTTTCACATTTAATTAAATTCAACAAGAAATGGAGAGGGGGAGGGGATGAGGTAGGGTAGGAGTGAAGAAGTGGTGGAAGGGGTGGAGGTAGGGAGTGGGGTTGTGAAGGGGTATGGGATAGGGAATTCCAGATGTGCACTAAAGAGGCCCACCTACCATGCATTGTGGTTGGGTTTTAGAAGCTTTGTGTGGAGGCAGATTAAAATCCCTTTGCCTTCCCAGTTGGCAAAGGGGGAAGGGACAAATAGACAAACAGAGATGAGGTAGGGAGGAGAGGTAAGGTAGGGGGAAGCAGACAATCATATAGTTACTTTATCTGTTTTATTTACAATCCGACAAGGACTAAGTTTTAATTATTCAATTTGCTGGTCAATGTTTTTGTATGGTAAGTATTTTACTTGTTACATGACTAATTAATGACTAATATAATAATCCAGCATTATTTATGTTCGTATTATGTGGCATGTTTTAAGAGTAAAGGTCATAATGTGAAAATGCATATTATCAATCAAAAGTTAAAACAATTAATATTTATCTTAACCAAGTTTGTGTTGTATTATTTAAGTATTTTGTCCTTAAAAGTAACATATAGTAAGTAAACACTTCTAAATAAATGCATTCACAGTACATCTTTGGCAGTTATGAATGTGCATCTGTGCATTACAATCACACTTGTTACATCACTTCATTTGGACTAACATTTCTCTTCGTAACTTTAAGAAAAAAAAAAAAAAACTTTGCATGACAAATTTAAAATTTTTAGTTTGTTTATAACTATATCATACATATTTTAATATGTTCACAACATTTACAGTGTTTGAACAAATGAAGGTTCTATCAAGATAGAAGGGCAACTGAAGGGCATCCAATCTCTATATGCTGGTAAAAAAAATGCTAAGGGCTTATACCAGGTAATATTTTGTGATTTCTCATAATTGTTACTAAATAAGTATAGTATTGTAATGTATTTTGCAGTAAATTATTATATTTTTAATTCTTCAGCCTCGCATCACGGCACATTGAAACAATGTAGCATTTTAGCCACTTCACTGCGCATGACGCCTTAAGGCGCTCGTAGGTATATCAAAAAGATTAAAAATTTCAACATGCACAGGGGTCACATTTGCTTCCTCAAGAATCTTAACCATCCCCCACCTTTATAAAGTCCCTCACTTGCTTGCTTCTAGGCCTTTAGTAAAAAAAAAAAAGTAAGGCCCATGTCTGGCACATCACCATCCACCATCTGAACGTGTTTGTGAAATTATAAAATTTAGGCTTACATATAAAGTATACGTATATATTTTTGGTATGAATAAATGCAATGTTGTATATAATTATACACACACCATCTGTATGTACATATATTTTCAAAGTTATACATAATCACCACCTTTGACACATCAATGCAACTTGTTAAAATGAAAGAACTGAATAGTGAGAAACAATGAAAATAAATCAACAAAGTTATTTCTGTGTGGCACCTCATCTCATTTCTACTGAAAAAATGCAACGTCTTTGGGGCTACTACAGCTAAACCACAAGAAGTAGAGACTTTTTACCTAGATTTTTGTGTTTCTTGGATGCTAATTAACGATGTCAAGTAAAAAACGTCAGGACACTTGTTTTTCAGCACACCACACGGGTGTCAAAGTTAACATGTGCACAGTATTAAGGAACCTTAAGGGGTATATACCTATAAAACAGCCTTGATGAAATGTGAACCATCTATATCTATAAGAGAATGTATGTCCAAAGTTGGAGGCCAGACACTTAGGGCTCACCTCACTAAGCTTTTCAGAGGGAATGGTCTGTGACATGGAATGGACATAGGATGGTTCGGGGGTCTCCAAAATTCAGGAGGAAACAGCATGTCTGGGTCACATTCTGACCCCGTGATAATTTTTGGCACCATAAGCTACACCAAGCTAAAAATTTCAGTCATTTTTCTTATACTGTAGTAATATACACCACCATTCACTGATCTTGGGAAAATTTAAAATTTTCTACTATTCATACTTTTGCCCATAGTAGCATAAAAGACAAACTCTCACAACTTCAAAGAATTTCTCAAGCCCAACCCATTCCTTAAAGAAATTGGGTAACTCATATTTTTTTGAATACTTCACACCACTAGGCTCCTCCCACAGGCAGACCACCCATACACCAATGTAGATTATAAAAAAAATAGTCAGTGAAGACAGACAGGTCTGCAGAGACCGGGTCAACTAGGGTAAATAGAATCAGGAAGACACCATCACACAGAGGTAGATAGAGGGAGAGAGAGAGAGAGGGGATGTTTGAAGGGAATGAAGAAGGGGGGATATTTGAGGAGAGGGTGTGGAGATTGAAAGAGAAGATAGGGAGAGAAATGAGAGGGGGGAAAAAACCCACTATCTCATCGCTTGCAATTTTCCCATCTCGCCCCTCTCCATTTTTCTCTCCCTTCCCCTTTCTTGCCCATTTCTACATTCTATCCTAATTTCTCCCTCTCCACCTGTCTCCCCTTCTCTTCAAATATCCCATTCTCTCTGAGATTGGAGTTCAGATAGAGAAAGAGAGAAAAGGGAGGAGGGTAGGGAAATGGGGTGGAGGGAAAACAGGGGGGAGGGATGTGGGGAGAAGGATGAGGGGGATAAGACAGACTATCCTGGGCACTGCCGGGTACTCCTTATACCAGTACTGTAGTTATAAAGTATCATTTGTCTATTCGTAGGCATGTAAACTGTACGAGGTTTTGTTTGGAGGAAAGTTTCACAATGTAACTCTTACTTTTAAATTGAGCAAATACAAAATAAAAAAGCATTAAATGGAACACATTTATTGCTTTTGGGTATTGTATTTGTAGTTTATCATTTTGGCCTTAAAGGTTTGAAGATTGGTCACCAGAAAAAATGGAAGAATTTCCATGAAAGTGCATGTTCTAGAAAATAATAGATCATTATGTCATAAAATAACAAAAATAGGAAAATTTGGATGCAACAAAAAGGGGGGGGGGAAGGGAGTCTAGAACATAAAGTGTTTATTTTGAATAGGTTTTGACTATACTGTGGCCCTTTGATCTATGTGCAAATTTTGAAATGTGCAACGAGATTTTAACTACTGAAAGTGCGATGTATGGTTCACAGGTATGAATTATTGGGCATGGATCTTGTAGAAGTGTAGTTAAGCTGGGTATGACTTCATACTCGGCTTAACAGGACAAGTATGGGTGGATATAAAAATTTAGAGAAAGAAAAGGATGGGAAGAAATTGACAGAAAAGAATATTGTAGTGTGAAGTGTCAAAAGCATAGGAAGTTAGCAGCCAGTCCTCGTACAGAATGCACCTCAAATTGGACGCTGTTAACACAAGCATACAAATTTAGGCGCATTAGGTGGGTAAATAAAAGCATCTTGATTTGTATGCTTTCTTGGACTAATGAGCATCAGCTTTGATAGGTGGGTTGGTTGGTTGAGGTTCATTTACTCATGGTCTGGTAAACACTTTAAATTAGATGCTTGTCAATTTGTAAGACACTGAGGAGTGCATGGCACGAGCCACCTTTATGTTTAAGTTAAGTGAGCATATTAAATTTGGAGCCATTCAGTTTTATGTGCAAAGTTTGTGACATCTCAACTATAATAAATATATTTGAATATGTAACAATAGGCAACATTAAAATATTTACATAAAAAATTTATATAAATTAATTTTTATTTACTTGTACTCTAGTGCTGCTTTTCATTATTATGGCATAACTTAATATTATAAATAAAAATTATAGTGTTCGATTTGGGCAAGATTTTCTAATAGTGAATAACCCGTCAGAATTCAAAATCTTAAGTTTTTTCTATAAGTTGGCATAAAACTGCCAATAAACCGGAGGCATGATTCACGTTATGGTTTCCCATAGTCAAGGACACGAAGCCTATTAGGGCTATCAAGGTCCCCTCCTCTATGCTAACTACTGATGAACTTTACCCTGGATGTAGTCCACAACTTCTTAGCTTCCATGCACCTATTCACAGCTAGGTGAACAGAGGAATCGGGTGAAAAGAAACATTGCCCAAACATCTCTATCCTGCTTGATAATTGAATCTAATAACCTCGGTTGTAATTTGAGGACAGACAACTGCACTACAGTTTTTATAATGATATTGTGAACATGAAGCTATAATTTTTTAGGAAGGTTATGATAAAGTAAATATCGAGCTGCATCTTGCAGAATATTTTCCTTGCACTCTGACCCCCTTAGTATTTTTCACAGCAACAATGCAATGAGGTATGGTATTTACTTGCTAAACAATGCTATATGTAACAAATTTATCTTCAGTAATTTTCCTTCCTCTTAATTAAGCCATTTTAACGTGGGTGTCTTCATCTGGCTCGAAGATACCTTTTTGATGTGACCAGCTGACTTATCATTCGCACCAGTTTCAGTGTGTGAGGTCTGACTGGGCACGCTTCACCAAAGAGACAATTTATCATTGACTCGTGAACGTAGTACCTGTTTGTAAAAGCAACCATTGAGAAAAAAAATTGTGTATGAAAACTGACAAACTGTAAACAATTCTAGACAAATTATCTGATTTATAGCCTGTGGGCTATACAAATACAACAAAATAATTATAGCATGTGTTGAATTACAAGTAAAACTAGGCAAATGACAAACCAGCAGCAGAAGCGAGCATTGCTAATGCACTCATGTTAACTTTAAAGTAATAATGTCTTTGGCAGCAATACTTATCTGCCAGTGCTGATACTCTCAACTGGTAGAGGGTAGCACAAATGACTTGTACTGTATCTGTATGAATTTAGAATCTTCACACATCTTATATAAATGTCTCCCTTTTTATAGTTCAGAGTCGGGAATATTCCATGTTTTACATGATGTAATGTTGTGGTCATTGGCTCTAACCGACATGCCCATATTTTCAAAAAGGCTGCTGTTGCTCAAATATGCTAGAAGCAAACATGGACAGCCTTCAGGACACTACTATACAGTAAACATTTTCCTTGTTCTGACATGATACTGTAGATGCAAAAATGAGATTTATTGATGGTCCACCCTATTAGTTATATTTTGTATTAAACTATTTTTCTTTTTTTATAAATCTGATAACCCTAAAATATTTATGTAATCCTTAATATAAAACTTTACCTTTTAATATTGCAAATATTACTTAATCTGTTCCCATCTGATCTGTTCCCATTTTGTTGATAAGAATGTTTGGATTAAGTCTCTTGGTTGTCTTTGCTTGCTCAGAGAATAATAATCAGAGCTTCCTGACTACCTGTTGATGACTGAGGATCAATGTTCCTGCAGGCCTCCTTGTTGCTAATCTGATCAATCAGGCTGTTTGATGCAGCTGCTTGCAGCCTGGTTGATTAGGTATACTTTGAAGGTGCTTGTCAAGTTCTCTGTTGAACACTGCAAGAGGTCGGTCACTTATGCCTGGTATGTGTAGGGGAAGTGTGTTTAAAAGTCTTGGGGCTTAGATGTTGATAGTTCTCTCTCTCTCTCTCTCTCTCTCTCTCTCTCTCTCTCTCTCTCAATGTGCCTATTGCACCTCTAGGAGTCACTTTTTTTTCATTGTTTATTCTTGGTGTTGGTTCAGTACAGTATTTGTTTAATTGCACTTCTTTGTACTCTCCCATTTGCCTTCATCTATCTTTTTGCAGAGGGGAGCTTGTGTGCTGTACTGGTCAGGTTAAACAAGTGAAGCTTGTAAGGTCCTACTTCTGGACAATGAGTAGGTGTCAAACCAAAAATGCCCTAAACCTCTCCTACGGGAACAAATATATTATATATACAGTATATCAATTAGTCACGTATTTAAGGAAGAGAGAGAGTAGTGAATATCTCGAGCCATTATTAAGGGCACCAGCTTGCCATGTTAAAAAGGAATGAATCAGGCCCACAAACACCACTGCAAGCAAAAATTATAAGTACCAGGACCATAAATTTGCTTCCCTGTTTTTGTTAGTCTGTGCTGTGCACTGACTTGTGCTCAGCATGTCTATAATATTCTTTATATTTAGCTACAGTACTGTATATTATATATATACAACATACAATTAAAAAGAAAGAATCTCATACCTTAGTTCTTCTGCATAGTTTGTTATGCAGTACTGGAGTGCTCGAGGACTATGGTGGAGGAAGGTGGCAAGAACACTGCAGTACTGGTGGATAAGTGCACTATCACACTCGCTGGTCTCACCACCATGCTCTGGGTGTAGCAAGACGAGCAGCTGCGGCACACTGTATGACAACCATCCTTCAACTGGCACGTGCTGTAAAGAATAGGGATACTGTTCAGGAACATGTTAATTCTATTACTAAACCTTATTTTTTTTTTATGAACTAATCTCCAAGAAAGGGCAAGTTACCAGCCATAAACAGTCTGTTGTGTATTTGCAAGTTAAGCAGTACACATCTTCCTGGAGCTGGAGTCTCTACCATAGCCTAAGTGCAATATATAGGCATATTTACATCTGACTGGATATTTGCAATCCAAATGAGTTTGTATAACAAGCTAGTGAGGATATGGCTGTAATTCAGGAGCAAGCTTTATTTGAATTAGAATTTAATACAATATTGTACTAAATAAGGGAGTACGAAATCAAGCTTGGAAAAAAGTTTGTCTACAACCATACTATTAAGTAATCTACTCATGACAAATATCAATGATATAGATTAAACATGCAAATTTACAGTACAACTTCAAGTCAACTAACTATATGGGATCAACACCAATTTGTTGCAATGAGGGATTCGTTACAACCGGAGATACCTCCAGGATGTATTACCCATGTATTTCTTCAAAACTCATTTTCAGAAGGTAGCAGGGCCATATCTGAGTGAATGAAAACCTTGCCTATTCAGAATTAGAAAAATAAAACATAGAATTTGGCTTTAAATATCCTCAATAGCTTTCTCCAGGCTCGAACTGTTGCTTGTAATGTTGAGCCCATCTACAAAAATCAAAACCGTGATTGGAGCCATATTAATAGTTACTATTCATACCCTAATATTTCTGACCAAGGGCTGAATTCACCAAGTGAAATTTTAATTTCAACCTGTCATATGAAGATCAACTACAAAGAACCTGTCTGTAAAGAGATTTAACTACATGTAGCATTTTTCCTATGCTTTAGTCTTGAAATCTCATTTTCAAGGGAAAAAGGACCCTTGATAGTGAAAAAAATGGGGAATCTCAAAATTAAAATGAACCAGAAAATTTGGTTTTAAATGTACTTGATAACTTTCCCAAGGCTCCTTACTATTTTTCAAAATGTGCCCATCTACGAAAATCATTAAAAACATGACTGGAGCCATATTAAGTTTGTTACTGTTCATATCTAATATTTCCCACACTCTACGGGCTGATTTCACTGAGCAAAATTATAACGTCAACCTGTCAAATAAAGGACAACAACTAAGATAACCTGTCTGTAAAATATTTAACCACATTTAACATACTTCCAACCCACAAGTCTTGATAACTCATTTTCAAAAGAAAGAGGGTCCATAACTGAACAAAAATCTCTACATCTGGGGGAAAAAAAAAAAATATAAAAAAACATAGAATTTGGTTTTAAATATGTTAATTGACTTTTCCAAGACCCAACTATTTCTTGTAATGTTGCCTCCATCTATGAACTCGGTCCTAACATCCTAAGTAAATCCACACATCTGCTTCAGCGAACTCTTGTTCATCGAATCGGGCAAGTAAATCTGGCATGGAAAGCATGTTCCAACCAGAGATTTGCCGAATCAAGGTTCATTGACTCGAGACTCCACTGTACAGTACAGTACTTTGATTTATAATTCACTTGTGATATGAATTTTTGTTTTGTTACAATAATTCCAATAGGTACTATTGGAAGTACCTATTGGAACTATATAATTTTGTGTACTCCCTGAAATAACTGCTTTGAGGGAGTGTTGAGTCTGTGGGATATTTCTTTTTGTATTATAATTAGTTGGTCAGTTGTTAATGGATTGAGAGACTGGTGCTTATGTCCCAATTTTGTGACAATGCCGTGTGAAGCCTCTTATTATGGTGGATGGTAAGTCGCAGAGCCTAGCAGTGAATAATGTTCCTGGGAAGACCATGTGGTCTATGGAAGAAACATACTAACTCAAAAGAGCATTCTATACACTCAGTGCTGCATTTGATATTTTTCTTTTGAAAGCATGAAAACCAAATTTACACCAATTCCTTACTTGTAGAAGAGTTGTTAAGCTGGGTATGACTTCATCCGTTTGTGGCTGAAGACCACACACCCAAGAAAACTCGGTCACGGATCCCAGTAACTCGTAAAGGGCACTGGTGCTTGTATGTGTCACCTCTTGTACAAGCCTCAAAAGCTGGAACAAAATATTCATTAAAAGACAACTTAAGATTCAGCAATATTGTAATGACTATCTGAATAAATTTTTAAATGCTAATCTAATCAATACCGTAATGAAAATTTGATTGTGGTACTGTATATATTTGTCATTTCATAAGCTGGGGGGAAAAGTGATAAGTTTAAAATGATATCTAATCAAATTTCAGTGTGATGTACTGTAATAATAACTGTCAAACCTCTTTTTCTGGGAGATTTTCCCAAGCACGTGATGAAAGCTCTCTGAAGTCAGTCAGCCAGCGTACACAAGTCAGTCGATAGACGGCTGGAATCTCGGGTGTTTTCATTGCCTCATTTACTAGATTTCGTAAACATTCATATTTGTTGTGCTTTAATGTCTGTGAACAAATCAAAATATGAGCAGAGAACAGCAATACAGTACAGTATATGCATTATTAATCATGTAACTGCCAAAACCCTTCTCTTACATAGTTATTAATGTTAATCTATTCCCAAGTAAATAGGAAGGAAATTAAATAGTCATTATAATTACATAGAAGATATACAAGGCCCACCACAAGGAGATATAAGGATTGAAATCAGATCATATACCAATTCTTACAGCTGTGAAAGGCTAAGACAGGTCTCTATATTCTTTTACCCAACTCCCTCTCCCACTTAAGAGTGGGAAAGAGGGATTAGGTAAGAAGTATTTTAGGTTCCAGTTTTGGCCTTGCACAACCTGTGAGAATCACTATCAAGTTCCAATCCTTGTACAATTATGGTGCAGAAGCAGCATGTTGGCCTTTTATATCTGTTGCAGGTTCAAGTCCTGCTTAAATCTAAATGACATTTTTATACCACTGTCAATTTTCAGTTCTATATCTACTATTCAACCCATCCTCCTATTTATATAGTACAGTACATTTTGTAACCATATGGAAAATCAATACAATAGACACAGAAAATAGACAATTAGATATTAGAATTTTTTATTATTCACCTTATAGTCTGAAAAAATAAAGCTAAACACCAAGCTTAAATATTCCTAGGCCTAGTACAGTACAGCATATATGTACTAAATTAGGCCTAGGAAGATTAGGTTAGGTTAAGTTTTCTTTGTAACAGTACAAAAACTTTTCCGGTTTGTCCAAATTTAATAGTGCCGATCTCTACTCTCTAATTGCCTTTTACGTCAATATATGCACAATGATCACTACTATAAATACCTAAACAGGAGGGTGGGCTGTTATTTTACCTTCATTTTAAATGGACACCGTTGAGTTCCTTTGAGACAAGTGGCCAATGTATCCAGTGTAAGTGTCAACATTTCAAGCTCATCTTGTCTTATTTGTAGTTCTTCCTCAGTATTTTCTGACCTATGAGTACTTCGAGAGAGCTTCATGTACTTCTTTATGAAGCTACTTATAATGTTAACAGTAGTAGTATCCTGAAAAATATTAGAATGAGTTACTAAAGTCACAACCTGTGTGCGAGTTGCACTATGCTGCCACTCTCATAAATACTGTTTAGCGATTCTTTGCACCCAGTTTTAATATCATGGTCCAGTCAGGTTGAACATGACATAGGGCCGCAATGACTGCCGCATACATTTTATAGTGCTCTTGTAGGGCCTTGTAGAGGTGTTGAAGTCATTGAAGATGGATGTCTGTTCTCAAGCTCAGCATAATTAAGACCCAATGAATAGCAAAATTATCAGTCAAAACACACTAGTGCAGTTCCTCTAGTATACACTAAGTAATAGCATCATTGTAGGCAGGCCCTATCCATCCACAACAACCTCTTATTCATCTTAACTGCTCTTTGATCTTGCTTCTCCATAGTTACTTACAAGTACAGTATATCTTTTTAAGCGCCACCTCGTAACCTTGTGATGTGGGTGGAAGTGGTTTTAAGAACTTCCTCCTATGCATTTCACTTGCCAATCACCCATACAGGGGACAAGAATTTTCTTTAATCTTTGACTTGGTTGCTTATTCAGCTTCCACGAATGTTTCCTCCCTACCTCATCAAAGTTTAAAAATGCTGCCTTTGTCCAATCGTTTATTTCTCTTAGTATCTTGTACTATACACAAGTGACATATCTTCTGTTTCTTCTCTCCAAAGGTTGAGTTCCCTTAACCTGTCCTCTTAGCCAATCCCCCTCAATTCTGGTACTAATCTTGATGCAAGCCTCCAGGTAAGCCTGTCTACTTTGGTCCTTTTTGTGCTTAACAAGGTGCAGATCTATGGTGGTGCTTCACTCTCAGTAATGGTTTTATATAGGCAGTGTATATGGACTTCCAGGCCTCCTGCTTAGATTGGTGTATGCTGTTCTAATGTTTACCAACTTCTTGTATGCCACTTGCATCCTGTTCACAAAGTTATGGTGTAGTGGTGGGATTATATTCACTCCCAGGTCTTTTCCTCTTACTTTCTTGTAGTTGCCTTATCCTTATGAGAGTTTCCTGCAGGCCAAAAGTACACTATTTGGATTTAATTCCTGCAGCACTTTACAGACCCTCACAGTTCTTACTATTCTTATCAGCTTTACATCGTTTGCAAACACTGACATGTAAAAGCTCAATCCTCCTTGCAAATCTAACAAATTAGTAAGAACAACAGTCCTAGGACAGAGCTCTAGATAAATTATCATCACTTTCATCTTCTATCCAGCCTAACATCCACTTTTGCTATGACAGTCTTCTATTTTTAGGTCATTTTTCAGGTATTTATCTCCCTTACTCAGGTCAGTCTTTTCCATTATCCCTGCTTGTCTCTCCATTCTGTGTATTAGTCTTTTGTGAGGACCTGTATCTAGAGCTTTCCGGCTGTCTAGAAAGATGCAGCTCCTCATCTTTCAGTGTCTTGCCTTATTTTGACGACTCAAATAATTCAATCACGTTTTGTTAGATGTGATTTTTCCTCTGAATTGGTTTTGTTTTGCCATTACAAAATTTATTCTCTACAGGCATTCCACAATTGTTTCCTGATAACTTTTCAGAATTGTACAGAAGATGAATGTTAGCGACACTGGTCAGTTGGTTAGTGCTTTATGTCTTGTCTGGTCCAGTCCTATTTTGCTACATCTTGGCCCTCTAGGTGTGTACCTATTTTGCAGAAAGTCTAATGCTGTCTAGGCTGGGACCAATTCTTAAGTGTTGACTTCTACTGCATAGGTTAGTAGTTCAGAAATTGGGTACCATGTTCCCAATGGTTTTATATTGGGTAGTTGCAAACTACCAGTTCAGGGGTGTTGCAAACATAGACTCATGATTGAAAAGTAGCATTATAGGCTCTATGTATGGAAAAGCCAAGTGGTTCACCAATATGTAAACTTACATTTCTTAATTACAATATATTTAAAATAATAAATGTTTCTATTCAGCAATTCTAGCTTAAATAAAATGTGTGGGGTATTGAGTTCAAAACTTTCTACCAATAAAACAATGGAATTGATGTTTTGTATTTATATATAGGTAACAAATTGTAATTAAAAGGTTGGGTAAGCAGTCTTGGGTAATCACAAATTTATTTATATATTTTTTACCACCATAGCAGCTATCTTGTCACTGTGGTGGGCTCAAGCATCTTGTTCAAGATCAGCAGACTACTGGCAGGTTTCTTCAGGCATTTCATAGGTCTTCCAAGAAAATCTAGATATCTGTTATCCTGGATGGATTGATTCATGGAATTGGGGTGGATATAAATAGGAGCTGCATCGTATGGATCAATAGGCCTTTTGCAGTTACCTTCATCTTATGTGCTTATTTTGTCTTCGGTTATTGGAAAGTATTTCTATAGGGTTCTCCTACAAAGGTGGTGTATAATATACACAGTCTTTGTTGGCATAGATGCCATTTGTGTCATGTAATGGTGCCATGATCCTAACCGAGCATAGAGGATCACTGTATAGTGCACTGAGCAACAACAATTTATTCAGAAAATAGCTTTTCCCAAACTCATATTTTGTAATGTTGCTGAACAAATTATCTGGTATAAAAATTACCAACATGATTTTAGCAGACCACCTGAAGAATCTTACCCCCACCACATTATTCAACCTTTCCTCTTTCAAATTAAATCTGAATTTGGCCATTTACCCGTATGGCCAAAAATGGATGTACGGTAATTTGAAAATGAAAAAAAAATTGAAAATAAATTGGGTATTTTTTTTTCCAAAACAATAAGTTAAGGGTCCTCTGGTACATTAGGAGAGCAGGAAATTCGCCTGAAGTTTTCGAACGTCATGAAAAACGTTAATTGAAAGTTTCCTCTTTTAATCTTTTCGAGTAAGCCAGAGGACTCAAACAGAAAACGGGAGAGTACAGTGCAGTACATCACTTTCGTGAGCCGATTTCATTTCAAATTACGTCCATTTTTGGCTATAGCGCACATACGTGCGAAAAGCGACATTATTTCGAAGAGGACGGGTTGGATTATTAACCTGGAGAATCTCCATCACTTCCTGTCCCTTCTGAAGATAATGAATACAGTACAGTACAATTAGCATAGCAGTACATGTTGTTCTGATAATGGTAGGACTCGTGTGTACTGTATATATCAAGTACTCATCATCCTTAATAGTAAAGTCATTGTTACCCATACCACATACACCTGGTATCCTGCCTTACCTGAAGAACCAATCACAAGTTTGTACTATCGAAACACTTTTCCCGAGCTACCTGGGGGAAAGGGGGGGGGGAAGTTGGTGATTTTTCAGGTGACCTAGTACAGTAAATAAATGTACATACATGATTTACAGAGTTTAACCCTGGGCTCTAATTATCAAAGTAATAGACTGAGTATTTGTTGATAAATGAGAGTCAGAGTAAGAAAATCAGTAGGAGCTATGAGGTTTTTAACCCGCACACATGGTACTCCTAAGAACAATCCCTAGGACCACTACACCACAACATGGCCAAATGCAGTGCAACCCAGAATTTAACAACGGTCTCGCTTCATGCAGGTTGGCGTTCAATCCCCGATCATCCAAGTGGTTGGGTACCATTCCTTTTCCCCGTCCCATCCCAAATCCTTATCCTGACCTCTTCCAAGTGCTATATAGTTACAATGGCTTGGCGCTTTCTGATAGTTCCCTTCCCTTTCCTTGGGGTCCCAAGAGTTCTACTGAAGCCCAATAAGGGTTTCACCCATTGCCTTGCCTCTATGCACTGGCTGTGGTCCAGGAGTTCTACCACCAACGCTTCTCTTCAAATGCACAATAAAATTACATTAACATGATTTCATTGATACATCACGTTAATGTGATTTCATTGTTCACAGAGTATGATTGGAACCTTTAAAATAACTGACCCTCCAAACAAATCTTCTAATGGTGGTGTATTTGCTGGCTCCCTGCTGCAGCTCTTGCAGAACAGAGAACTGATCTTCTAGGGTTGAGGCTGCCAGAAGCTCAGACCGCAGCTGTCCAAAAGCATGTTCCAAGGTGCGCTCATTAGAGATTTCCTGGAATTCTGCCCATAATCTTCTTGGGGTTTGTGTCTGTATCTGTAGTTATTGAGGAGAGTAATAGTACTTTTTAAATAATGTTCAAATTCACAAGCATCTGAAACAGCAGGCAAATGAAAATTATTTTATCTTCATAATATACAGTATAAAAGAAACCAACTTTTAACTCCCAGAGAGAAAGGGTCATTATTCCGCTTCAGTCATAATGGGCTCAGGAACTGAACCCCACTATTAGCTAAATGAATTGTGGGGTTCAGTCCCTGAGCCCATTATGTGCCTTTGTAACCCTTTCCACTACTGCCCACAAGATGGGTATGGGGTGCATAATAAATGAACTAACTAACTTCTGCTTCAATCAAATACTTTCACTTATGTTAACATTTAAGAAGAAATATTGAAATTGACAATTTTTAGGCTATGAAATAAATGTCAACAAATGTTTGAAAGGTCTCTTTGAGAACAGTTGGAACAATTTAAGTCTAGGTGACACTGCCAAAGCCATCAGCAGCTTCAAGGTGTCATATGACATAGGGACGAAGGGACAACACAGGTGTAGCTCTCAATCTGTTACTATAATTAGGTAATTACAGAAACAGGTGAGCAAGTTAAACCTTGTGAATGTGTAGGCACAAAAATGTCCGCCTTTTTTTTTGCTCTATTTGGTTTTAAATTCAAAGGTTTATTTATCTTTGTTGTTTTTCACAATGCTGTAACACAGAATGTAGCAAGTCACTTATACATACTATGAGAGCATGTTGATAGTCATCCATTTGTTATTTAGCTCATTTTGAATGTTATTTAGAGAGGAAAAATGTTTGAATAACCAAGGTAGTATCATCTTTAAAAATATTGATTTGAGGTTTTGGGACAAAGGTATTTTAAGTATTTAATTCAGTATCAAACATATTTTTTAATTTGTAAAAGGAGGTATATCATGACTTTACTACAGTTTATCACATTTATTTATTTATTTATATATATGCAAGAAGGTACATTGGGTTTGTGAGAATACATTGAATAGTACAGTATTTACAATCTTGTAAAGCCACTAGTACGTGCAGCATTTCGGGCAGACACATATGGGTTTGCTTGTAAAAGCAAAAGTTGTGTTCACAATTAGGTAAAAATATTGATAGTATGTGTGTTTTATCCACTATGGCTAGTTAAATCAAGAATACATACCAAGGAGGAGGAGACCCATAGTGAGTGGAGGAGGTGAAAGAGCAGTGTGGAGGTGGAAAGTGTGTATAGATGAACTTCCTTGACATCTTTACCGTCTGTGACATCCGAGAAGTTAAGGCTCTGGCTTCGCCGTGGTGGATGACTGTGCGGGAGATAATGCTATAGTGAATGAATTGAAAACATCTGAATACATCTTACTGGGTCTTTATTGTTGCATGGATATATATATACATATTGCTTTGTAAATATCAGTGTTAGTTCATTCACAACACTAATGGAAGTTACAGTAGCAACAAGGGCCAGAACTATTTTCTAGAGATGTTTCAGCTGTTGTGAATGACTATTGGAATGTGATTATATATACACACACACACACACACAGGTGTATATTATATATAAAAAGATGTATATATAGATCTTTTTAACACCTATAACCTTTCATTATTCAGCATTTTGCTCCAAGGTGATGCCTCACCACTCCACTGAAATGAAAAATGGTTAATAATAACAATTATGTTTCAATTATAGCATACAATGCTGATTAAAGTCTCTCCTCATTAGATCCTAAATGTAGAGTGACATTATTCTTGAGCTGGAAGCATTCATTTCAATAACAGTTCTGCACTAGAAGCATGAAAAGTAGTGTTCATTTAATGAAATAAAAGTTTTTGGTTGAAAATTACTTTGTCAAATGCCCTTATACAGAATCTATAAGAGTGTGTTTGTCTGTCTGTCCAAGGCTGGAGGCCAGACACTCGGGGCTAGCCTCACCCAATGTTGTCTGGAGTATGGGATTGACACAGGCTGGTTGGGGTAGGGTTAAATGCTTTAAGAAATATTAGCAATTATAAACACCTTCAAGGCCCTTTTCATGGCCTGAAGTGTGATAAATAGCATGTGATTTCCATGGAGTTTGGGCACAGCTGTACCCAACTGTGCTCAAACTCCACAGTCCTATCCTGGTACAGCATCTTTAAAAAGAGTATGTTTGTTTGTGTTTGGTCGAGGTTGGAGGCCAGACGGTAGCTATTAACCTCCCACAACTTTCCACAGTGAATTGTGATTGTATGGCTAGTGTCATAGGATGGATGAGGTCAACTCCTATGCCCCTCTAAGTAGGATTGGCTTCTATTGCAATAATCAACAACTGCTATTTAATCAGAAATGTGGGTTTTATTGTGCACTGTGTGTTTACCAACAGATTTCTTGGGTGTTGTCGATATTGCTCAAGCATGTTTTGCCCACTAGAGGAGAGAAATATATATATATATACTGTACATACAAACATACATACATATATGCATGCAAACATACATGCCAACAAGAGTCCTCAATAAAGGTAAGATATATCTGTACATACCTTAATACAAAATATTAGTATTATTATGTATAAAATGTATTTTTAATTTAATATTTTTGGGTGTGTGCAACGGATTACTTAAATTTACATTACGGTATTTCTTATGGAAAAATTCATTTGGGTTTTTTTAATTTTTGGTTGTCGAACCGTCTCTGGGAATTAAATTTGTAAACGAAGGTACAGTACTGTACTACTGTATTATGTTATTTTATCAAACTGAATGCTAGATGTATAAAAACAATTGCTTACCCAGTTGAAGGTTTGTCTAGGACACTCTTGCTTCTTGTAGGAATATCTAGACCCAGTGGAGACAGTCTGTGGTAGGTGTCAAGGGCACTGAGTGAGCGGTGCATCTTGGCACGAGGTAGTGTATCAGGGGTCACGGAGCGTGTTACTTGTCGACCTGACACTGCACGAAGATAAGTTTACGCATTATTTAAAACCAAGACATACAAATTCTGTTTTGCAATGTAATTATAATAAAGTATTTTGTATATTTCCAGCGAGTTATTTTCCCCTGAAAAGTTGTGTGTTGAGGTGGCCACAACATTATATACAGGGTTACCTGGAGACCTTAAATATCTAGAAGCAGAAATATCGAGAAGACAAAAATGTATTATGCTTTGCAAAGAATAATAATAATAATACTTTATACATACGGGTATACATGAACAGTGGATAATTTGTGGGTAAGTACAATATGGCACAAAGTCACTACTAATACATCAGTCTTGAGACTGTTTTTGAGGAGTGACTTGTTATTTTTTAATTCAGATTATGAGTTGTTTTATAATATGTAACAAATACAAATAGAATAAAACTGAGAAGAGCAAATTTGTATAATGTTGCAAAAACCAGTAATGCTGTTCGTGTTTAAAAATGTACCAGGAAAGCACATACTCAAATGTTATTTATATGTTCATACATTATATACATCTAACAATTATTACTGTACCTGTACTAACAAAGCATGTGTTGGGATTCCTACCTTGAGTAAGGAGATCTATCATAGGTGAGTGGGAGTGGTCATCACAAGCATTATCATGATCTGGAGACTGGGATCGGACTGACAATTTGGCACCGTTGAAAGAAGCTAAGGGTTTGTTAATGCTTGCTAGTGTTATGTGAGGAGAGCCAATGTCAGGTAGTAGAGTACCATTGGCAGGGTTCTGATGGCCGTTGACTCTCTGCGACCACCCTTTTCTTTTGGTGCTAAAAATATAAACATTGGATATACAATCATTTACATAGTAAAGCTATTGACATACTGTACTGATTATAAACACACCATATTCCCAATTCATCTGTGTTATAACAGCAATTTAAATCAGCCAAATACTTAGGAAGACAATAGATCACCTGTTTAAGGTGGCAGCATCAGCGCTGGTGATACATAAGGTGTCGATGGAAATGCGGGGTAAAGGCAGTGGGTCACTACAAGCGCTGACAGTCTCATGGGCTGCCTCAGCCAGGGCCCGGGTAGCCTCAGGGTAGCCCCGTTCACTTTTCTCATCTTCGTCATCCTCATTAATGGATGAAGTGCTGTAGAAAGTATGAAATATGAGAGAGAGAACACACTACTTGTGTTGTTCATAATTGATGGATTTTATGCAAACATTCCAATGCTGCTAAAACAAAATAGGTTTAAACTGGTGCCAATGACATTTTAAGTACTGGTGTAAAATGTTAGAAAATATTGTCACCTTCATAAACTTTTTAAATTTAAATATGTATTATGTATTTTTTAAACCCAATTGTAAGTTTTGCATTCCAATTAATGGTGGTTTCTTTCATTTTAAAATGTATATAACAGGTACTGCACTTAATAATATTTGCTTAATCAATTAATCAAATAATTGCATGTTGAGGTATGTACAGTATTTAACTTTTGGAGCAAACTCCGATTCACCTGTAAGTACTGTAATCTATGATGTTCACTATATTTAGCTTCAATTACCATTATTAACACCATCATTGCCATCATCTAGAGGTTTGTGGGCTCCCATTTTGGGAATGATTATATCAATGTACTGTATACCCTACATTCATTCACATACTGTACTCTCTCTACTGGTACTATATCCCAATTTGTAAAATTTAAAAGTGAAAGAAAGCTACACTAGCTGTTCCCTCTATCATCACACTACCTTTCAAGAAGAGCCACATACGTATGAATCATCCAATCAAATTCTTCGGACTTCTAGCTGTTACTACTGTTTAGCTTAGACAGCTGTATGTATCTGAGAGTGTGCATTACTTGCAGATGTTGACCAGACAATGTAAACTGTTTGAAAAATGATTCACACTCCCTGCATTACTATGTGATGAAATGTGAAAAAAATTAAGTAATTTAGAAATAACTTACAAATGTTCAAGAAATGTGAAAGTAGTTAATTAAAAATAATCTATTATAAATTTATAGCCAATTATCCCAATTTGCCAACCTTAGGTAAAAGGATCATAACTTTTTTCACAGCTGTCCATTGGATGGGCAAATTAAAATGAATATAATTGGCTCAACTTACTGTAAGAGAAAGCTTGTTTTATTAGACACACAGTATATTTAAATATTGATACAGAAGATTATTTTCAGAATTTCCTATAAACATCTAGCTAGAGATGAATATATGCACACCCAACATTAGAAGATATTAAGTTCCAGTTTCTATGATTTGCAGAAATGTTAGTTTGTAATTTAGATTAGGAAAGTGTATAGTTTCCTTGGTTATAAAGAGTACTTGAACCCTTTACTATTATTTTCCCTAATGAAACAATTCAAAGTTTCTGAAGTACTGTACTGTATAACTATGATTATATGAAGCTCATACTGAACATATATACTTTCAGGAATAATAGAGGTAACCTTTGTTAAGTTTTAATTTAGTTCGTTTATTATGAAGCACACACACTTATCCATGGGTCTCTCTCTCTACTGGGTGGTAGTGGAAAAACTGCCCCTTCCTCTTCCAATCTAGACCATTGGAGAAGGTCCTCTTCAAGTATACTCAAGACAAATGTTATATTGGCTAGTTTTTTTTAGCCAGTCTGACTGTATGGTATGAAATTTTAAATTTTCATGGTGCTATTGATTTGATGTACAGTATTTGAGATATCTGTATCTCCTACATATATTTTTTTATGTTATCTTGAAAATAAAAAATACTGCCACTTTAGCTTTAAATGTGCTATTCTCTTCTGCCATATTTTTCATAGTCCAGTTTGGTTTTCAATTGTTGGTATCAGGAAATGTGTTTGGTTTATAGAGCAATGAATGCCCTTCTATAGGTATAGTACTGTACTTATATTTCTGGGTGCACAATTAGGGGGTAAGAAGTCCGGGGTGTGCCTCCCCCTCACTCTCACCACTGCTGTCTAATACAGTATAGTGCTTCACTATACACTATAGTGCTACACTATACAGTGTAGCCCTGGCTGAACATGGGTATCGGCACGCTGGCTGCCCAACGTCTCGCTCCGCGATCTGAATCCCATCTGCCTAATCTGCAACGTATATTCACCCATTAGTCCACAGACAAGACTCACTCTGAGGAGAATGACCGAGTTACTGTAGATTTTATCCCTGTATATGTTCAGGAGCGTGAGTGTACAGGGGGGGGGGGGATGTACGGTACAAACCATATGTGAAAGAATTATTAGCAAGATTATTACACTCAACCCCCCAATGTATGTACTTTCTCCATCCAATATACCTAACTGTAACTAAGTACACAAATCAATATGCTACGTACCTGGGCAGAGGGTAAGTAGTGTGGTGAGGTAGTGAGGGTGTACCGAGCCTGGCCAGGGAGTTACGGCGAGGCTGACGGTACCTCACAGTAATGTGAGTGGTGTGGTCCCTCACACCTCCCTGCAGGAACTCCGGCAGGTCGTGTACCTGTCCATACACACAATCACCTTGTAATTAATCTCATTAACCAAGTTTAAGAAATAAGTACGTATTAACAGAACCTTTAAAGCAAAATAGTTACCACAACACAATATTAAAAAAAATGAAAAGTGTATGAGCATGAATTCTTCTTGTAATAAATTATATAATGTTAAGTAGTATCAGTTGATTGACAGTTGAAAGGCGGAACCAAAGAGCCGAAGCTCAACCCCCGCAAGCACAACTAGGCGACTACATTTAAACAAATTATATACCAAAGCAGATAAATACGGAAATTATCTACACTTAACTCTCACACATGCACACTACAAAATAGCGACTGGGTCGATTATATTTAAACATTAGAGAAGTAGAAGGAGTGGCTGACCAGCATGACATTAGTTATGTGGGAGACGTTGAGGAGGTGGGTGAGGGCCCGCGGCGGCGTCTCCGTCAGGTACACGTCCTCGCCAGTCACCACAGCCTGCTTGTATGACAGCGAGTTGCCACATCGCACGATCACCGCCTCATACAACCTGTAACACAACACTTTGCTAATTATCACCAGGGTCCAGTCATCAGAATACACTTCGTGCTCTCAGCAGTAACATCTTCTCTCGCCTCCCCCAGGAGACAGTAGATGCCTACAGCTTTTGTATAGTCATTGCATTCCTTTTGATTAACGTAAAATCTTGTAAATATTTCTCTTTTAATTTTGTGTAAAGCCAAGTGTTTAGGGGTCTTGTTTGTCATTATTTTGTGTTAAAGTAATTTTTATTATATTAAATGTTGGAAGTTTTATTCTTTTTGGTTTTTACCCGCAGCTCTCACACCATAGAGGACACAAGCAGTGTTTTTTCTTCGTTTTAATTTTTATTTGATTAATGTGCGATTAGCACAACACCAGCCAGAATAGCCACTGCTCTATTATAGATTCTCGTCACAATATTAATATAATTAAATAATTGTCGATAATAGTCACCTGTAATAATGAATAGCTTACAGTACAAGATGTGGAGTATGCCACCGGGCACCACCAGGGCCTGCTGCCCCAACCGTTATTGCATAATCAATTTGCCACATATGTCGCCAATAGTATCCCAGTGGACACCGTTGATTGAAAGTAACCAACGTTACATAGTAAACTATGTAAGATTGGTTGCTTTTAACCAGTGGGGTTAGTTTACTGTGCTCACAAAACTCACCACAAGAGATAACGCGGAGAATTATATAAACAAATCCTCATGAAAAAGGGTTGACCTTCGACAAGCCGCCAGCCTCCTGCCCCTATCGAGGCCCCTAACAAGATGTGGCCTTCAAATAAATTCCGCTGAATATCTTTGTCAGACCCTAATGGGTGGAAATAATTCGAGTTTGCCTACTGCAGAGTTAATTACGTCATTGTATGGAATGGCCGATGCTTTTTCACCCATTGGGTAATATAGTTGTGTAAAGGAGGAAATGTATATGTTTATCTCTCAGAATGTTCGGTAATATGTTTATTGTTTGTGATGTGTGTCTATGTATGTATTAACATGATGTACTGAACAGGGTGAGAATAGCTTGAGCTACCTCATCCCTTTGTGTGCATTTTACCTCAATAAACTTATTTCAATTTCAATTAGGTAATAAACCTATGGGACCACTTATCAGCCAAAGCTGTATAATGGTGTGGCCTTCTAGAGAATTTAGTGGACGATTTCCACTAAGCTATCACAATGCCAGCTTTAAAAGAGTATACACAAAAATGAAACATTTTCTACACAAGTTTAACGAATGACATGACAACAGTTCGTTACTCCAACAAGCAGGGCACAGTTCCCATGACCTGATTTGGTTAAGTTTATTACTGAAGCTGAACTAGTGCTCCACAGCATGACTCAGCTTGTCGTGCGCCACGCCAATAAGACAGCTTCACATCGCACTTGTTGTCATTTATTCACTTACAATCATAGGTGCCTGGGTGACACCAAGTGGCTGGGGGCGCCGTTCCTTCACTCTATCCTCCTATCCCTTCCATTTGCCATATACTGTACTGAGTGCGCTTTCTCGTGATAATTATCTTACCCTGCTCCAAGTGTCATTGAATAACGAACCTATATATATATATATATATATATATATATATATATATATATATATATATATATATATATATATATATATTATATACATATATATATATATATATAATATACACATACATACACACACATTATATATATATATATATATTGCTACATCTAAACTGAAGAAGACACCAGTGACATATAAAGCAGAGGTCGTCCACGGAATATATTAATGACGGAGAAGAGGGTCAAGTATATTTAGACACAATCAGATGTCGAAAGTCGAATCAACAGCTCTGCTTCCTACCAGACACATCCATCCCGTCCACCACAACCACACACCCACTGCCACAACCATCACCACCAAACACTTGCAGGGTTGTGTGTACAACCACCATACGCATCATCATCTACAACCATTGTCACACGCATCGTATATCACCGACCACTGCAGAAACTAACACTCACCCTGTGAGCAATAGCGCAAAATTATTACAGGGAGCCAAACAGGACTACAGAAGGAGGGGGGGGGGATGTAGTAGTAGTACATTAGGATCCGGATCGTCAGGTTGGGCACCCATCGTGGTGACAGGGGTCAACACGTCACCACAATGACTATTTCAGAGTTGGTGGATGCCAAGGCCGAAAACCCGTGACAGGGGCTGACGACCTTCGGGAACGCCCTTCCCGCACTGTCCACGACAGCCGGGCCCTTACTGCGGGTCAACTGAAGGTTGCCCTACGGCTGCAGTAAAGGGGGGAGGCCTCAACGTCTGCAGAACCAGGAGCACCGCGAGGTGGTGTTGAGGACTTTACACAACCGCTGCACGCTAGTTGTGCACTATGCACTCTCAATATGTCACGTTTGTTCGGATTACTCAGATCGAGGACACCACTAAGAGAGTCATAGTTACTCCCTATAGTCATAGTTATAGGGGGGGGGGGCAACAGGACTACACATAGGGCAACCCGCCATCGGATTACATCCAGCGGTCGACCCCAAAGGCGCATTCATCAGTTTTAACATTGTTAATTCATAACAGAACTTTTCTCAAATATAAATTAATATTATTATATATTAACATATTGTGCATATTTAGGCATTGGTTAGGTTAGGTGTTTAGGTTCTGTTGGCGATTATTTGTATTTGTAGTACGTGGGTGAAGCATTTACAGCGTTGTGGTTCGAATAAAATTCGTCAGTGAAGCACTTGTTCCAGAAGTGTTCGAACGTCATCAGTTGTGAGTCGTGTGTTGTCGGAAAATCCGACAGCATTTAATAATAATATCATACAGACATAATATTGCTGTATTGTATAAACAAGTTACCCATAGAAAACGTAACTTGTAGTGGAATTACCGTCTATAGAAAACGGAATATCATTACCACATACTATTTTAAATTCACCACCTATTATGGTGGGAATTATTCTTAAATACATTAGTCTTTGGACTTTACCATCATAAAAACATTTCATATAAATTAACTTAATTATCAGAATTAAAGTAGAGTAAATGTGACCCTTCTATCACTTTCTGTCATCTGGACAATGTAAGCCAGGCATGAGGGTGAGGGAGGGGCAGTGATTGTTTATACTAGACCAGAGGCTCACGGGAGCAAAAACGGCTCCTGTTAATTTTACTTGGACGAAGTGTTATGGAAACCAAAGGTGTACCATCTTCAACACGCTGTCAACAAATTCAAGTTAAGTGTTCTTCCGAAACCCATTTATCTTTCATTTATGGCCATTAATGTCTGGATATAGGGTGACCCGGTTAAAAAATTCAATTAATATAAACCCCCCTAATGTGTAGAGGATCGATTTGTGAGATTATGAGATTATTGCAGAAATACAGTCCACTTAACATCATACAAATTGCTATCGAAGTATACAAATTAACGTAAATATAAATTCATATAAATTAAATAAATATAAATCTCACAGGTCGGTTCCCACATGTGTAAACCGTTTTTCATTCATAAACAGGGGGTTTGGCGGGTGGATGGAATCACTTTTGGGTCTTTGTTTGGAGGACGGGCTGCAACATGACTAACGAATCGAGCAGAGGATGTGTACGAAGCAGTGTTCGAGAAAGGTACTTACGTCATCAGTTGTGAGTCGTGTGTAAGGTGTTTTCATTCATCAACGGTGTTTGGCGTTGATTGACGAGCGTTTCACCTTTGTTGATGACGGGTTGTTCACTATGATATATCACAAAAGACTGGCTCCCATACTCTCAAAATTTCCGGTTACAACTATTATTGCAGTATTTGTTTGCCCAATCACTGGCTAATCGCCTACTGATTGGAGACAGCGAAGTTAATCCTGCATTCGTAATCAAACATGCCAAGGTGAAGTATAAACTGGATCTCCCCTTCCCACTTCCGGGCTGCTGCTGCTGCTGCTGCTGCTGCTGCTGCTGCTGCTGCTTCTTCTTGTTTTAGAATCAGCTACTCGGGACTAAAATTTACATGTAGCACGGGCTATGGTGAGCCCGTGCTTCCGGGCGACATGCGAGCTACAACTTGGACACCTCGACTATCTCCTTGGTTATGACTTAATTATCTAAGATCGTGTCGCCATATTCTCTCACGTTGTTATTATTTGAACCCCTCCACGTCACACACTCGGCCCTCCCAGGCAATATCCCGCCAAAAAACCCGGCCGCCCGCCCGCTCGCTCCCGCCCTCCAACATCCTCACCACCTTCCCTCCATCCGTCCTTTCCCAACCCTCGCCCGTGACCTTCAGCCTTGCCTCCTCTCTCCATTGATCTCGCTGCTGGCGTGTACAGTCATGTAAGACAAGGAGCTCCCCTTACTCTAGGCTTCTCTTCCCCTTTCCCCAGCCCCGTCAACCATCTTCACTACTCCACCAATATTTAACAGCAAGTCATAAGAGAACACTCGAACCTGGGTCCAGTAAGCATAAGACCCACACGCTGCTGGTTCTTCACCAGGGGGGGCACATAAGCACTAGGAACCGGAGGCGCTTCTGGTTCTACAGGGGTTGTGAATGGGCCAACTGGTATTACAGTTCAAGTTATGGATAGTCAATCCTGCTATCAGAGAAAATGATATATCTAGCAAAATGTTCACATCCTGTACCCCAGTTCGAGTCAATTCTAATAACTCATTTGCTGTTGCATGACGCCGAGAGCTTCAATTTTATATTTGTGTGTCTCGTCGGCATTTTATTTTCGGAATAGGAAATATAAATCTTTAGATTTTCTAATTATCTTAAATTTTAAACTTTCATACAGATGCACACGCACCCACAAGCACGCGCGCGCACCTTTGCTAACACTAGGCTGTAAATAGGACTTCAGGAAGTAGGTCAGGCGCGGTGCCCTTTACTGAAGTTCATATCAACAGGGAACTCCAGCGTGGCGTAGGGTCTCTCTCCAGACTTCTCTCTCTCGTCCGGACTTGCCAGAAACCACACGGCAATAGTGTCATAAAAATCAT